TTGTAAGTATTGTATGATATTTTGTAATAACATGATGTTAAAAGTCGTGTCTATGTTTTTGGATGTGTTTTAATGTGAGTTTTGAAATGTTTTAATGTCATTACAACTTCCTTTATTACTGTTTGTACAATTTGTCATTTGTATGTGGTTTATGTATGCATATTAAAATGTCATATTTGATGTGCATTTGCAGTAATTCACTTAAGTGTTGTACTTGAAAACATGTCCTGTATGCAATATCAGTTTTAGCTTGAAGCGAACGTTAACTTTCCATCTACCAACCAACCAGTTGACTAAATGGTTGAGAAGTTTTCCTGCTACAAACATATACCATCATAATAACTGTGCACCATTTATAGTGGAATATAAAGTATTGTAGCATGTTATAGTATTCTGTGTTATGTTTAAACCAACTTTTCATTTTCAGAACTGTGATAATGTTTAGGATGTAGCAGTAATTTAGTAAATATATTAGCTTAATCTCTTAGATGCATAAAAATTTCACTGTAAAGATGCTAAGATTGATATTAATGTCATGTTAAGAATTAATTTATTAGAGTAGCTTTAGATATTATATCAATCTTCTCCTGTGTCTTAACTGCTTCATTCCATGATAATAATAAAAGTTCAATCTGTAAACCTAGGCTGAAAAAATTGACATTCTACTGATGTCTTAAAAACTGCCTGTCATAGAACATTAGACATTTTCAAAGTTTTCATTAAATTTCCCTTGGGAAGATAAGATGATAGCCATTATCTTAGAACATTCTGAAATCGTGAGCTCCTTTACACTTCTTTTGTCTGAGAAAGTTGGAATAATTTTGTTAAACAATTTAAACAGGGGATATGTACTCTCTGATCTTCTAAATGTCTTTCAAATCTTACATGTTCAAACTATATTTACACAGTATTTACTAAGCCTATATAGTGTGAGAAAAAAGTCTAATTCAAAGACTTGTTCAGCTTGCGTGATAAATTTTAGTACCAAATATTCTTGGCGTTTATTATAGACGAGGAAAACCTGCTGTGTTCATGTTAAATACTATAGGTATTACCATTATTTCTGAATTATATTTGTCTAAAAATAGATTCTCTGGCCATGTAGTCAGTGTATTGAGCTGAGAGAGGAAATTATTTCCAAGGGAATGTTTATTGGTTCAATACGGGATACAACACAATCAATAAGATATAATAACTAATCATATTGATAGCTTCTAACTCATTCTATTTCACACTACATTGCTTTAAATGAATCAATTCCATGTATATGATAGATTCAATTCATTAGATAGTGAATACTACCATATTGCTGTCAAATTAATTACAAATACACACAAAATTCATCAGCTGGTTGATCTTTGAGTACGGTGACAGTGGTGTTTCTAAGAATCTTCTTGTCTTTCCATCTTTGTAAGATGATAAGAAATTTGAGAGTGGGAGAGGGGCAAACAGTTGATGAATCCCTCCCTTTAAGTTTAAACTGATGATTATGGTGATGATGAAATGATAAGTCATGTATAACGAGTTCTACTGATGTAATTTAAGAATAATAAATCTATGATATTCTCTAGACAAGTTGGATGGAAGAGACTTTTGTGTGTTAAATATTTATGAATACCAATCAGATATCAATATCATATTTTGATATAAAAAACCAAGTAAATGTCCTGGAATATTGATGGAAAATGCCAAAACTGGTTGTGCTACAATCTGTTATTCTGGAGAAATTTTCATGTTTCTAAATCTGTGGTCGATCATTGCCTTATTTAGATCTGTTGAATATGTTTTTTTTTAATAAAAGCTTTGTGTATCATATTTTTTCATTGATTTGGACTAAAGTAGAAAGAAAGAAACAACCACTTTTTTAACTAGATAATAACAACTGAAGTTCATATGGGTCTTCTCTATCCAAAACTATTGATCTGGAATATCTGTTCTCATTTACAGCTGGGTTGACTGAGATTATGGGGAAAGATGACAGAACATTCACACATCAACTGAAATGTGAACCTTAAGGTGTGGGCACACAAGCAGTCTTGGTCGGGGCTTTTTTTTTTGCTCACTTGAGTACTGTGAGGAGTTTTGCCAACTGGCACATGCACACAAGGAGACAAAAATCTCCAGTCGGTCGTTTTCCACCATGTTGATAGTCACGTGCAGAGCATGCACTTGAAAGGAAAAGGAATCTGATTGAATGATGACGGTCTGTCTTGCAGAGACACCTGTCAAACTTGTTTGAAATGATATTATAAATCCTGTCAGGGACCAATCTTGTGTAAAGGTTTCAACATCTTGCGTATAAATGGCTTAGTTGGTTTTACTTTATCCTATATCAGAAGAATAATCTTACTGATTAGACCTTGAAGTGGAAGGAATGATTGAGATTGACATCCATTCGCGTGAACTTTTATAGAATGTGAAAAAAATTGACTTTGACATTTATAATTTAGAATCTATTTGTTATTTTCAAAAAAACATGCTCATTATCTTTTGTCTTTTCTTTTGAGTTTCTTAAAATCAATTACAAACAACTATGTCTTGTTTAAAATTGATTTTTTAAATCTTTTGTAAATTAGTACAGCTTGGCTCAGTTCCTGCTTGTCAGGCCATGACTTAGTGAGTAGGACGGGGTTGTATTTCGGGTTGTATTTCGGCATATGTTGATACTATACAGGTCAATATTTCACATGGCAGTGATGTAGGTAGGAGGATCTGTATCTTGTTGTTAAGGATAGATAAGAAATCGGCTCCATGTGAGCTACAGGTTGTGCATGTTCCAGATCCCTAGACAATTGGAATTGCCGCCCTGGCAAATTACTGTCATTGCACACTGCATGGTATTACCCCATCTGGTGCAGAAAAGTAGAACTTAAAACATCATTTCAACTCTAATCAGGAGGTTGTAACACTAAAGGCATTGAAAACAAGTGCTATAGATGTACAAGAAGATACATACAAGGTTTAGTGAGGTCTTAAATCCTTCATCCTACATCCTACATCCTACATCTGAGGCTAAACCCATCCTGCTATAAATAAATAAAGAGCAGGATATATCATCTTCACAATGTGAATACTTTAATCATAGGCTTTGACAGAAAGTCTGTAAACAACAGGCCATAATTTTTACAGTCTTTATGCCGAAAGCTCTGATTAGCTGTAATTGTGGGTGAACAATCCAATCAAATAGCTGCATTTGTAAACTTCTGTGACACAAGAAAGGTGGCTATTGCAGTCAAGGTATAAGTTGGTAATAACTAGACAGTGTGAAGAGGAGGATATATAGAATTAGTCTTATCAATTTCTTTCATATTGATGATATGAGGTTGGGTTTTTTATTAGTTCAATATGTGACATTAAGCAAGTCTAACATTAAATTGAATGTCATATGATAAAATGTTGATTAGTTATTAGTTATTTTATGTATTGATGTTTTATTAAAGGTTGAATCTATTTATGGTGATTATACTGAGGTTTGTTTTGTTCCTTAATGACATGTTAGTCTGAGTATGTAGTGGAATATTTCATTGTGGAGTATAATTAAAGCCAGACACAGACGGCAGATTTTTCTTTTGTTGAAAACTAAAAACAATGTTATGTGTTAGGGCTGGGCGATATACCAGTATCACAATAATTACTGATATATCATTAATAATATCGCCTTCTTAAAAAAATACAGAGATATCGCCATATGATATAGCGTTAAATATTTGTCCAATAAGATCTTCTACACAATTCTAACAAGTAATCTAATATTTGAAACAGACATCATTTTGTTTCAAAATCCAGTAAAATCCATACTTCAGATACAGGAATTAATGTTTCTGATACAAAAAAAATGATTTTCAAAAATATTTATCTTATAACGATTTTTATTTTGTAGCCTGATTTTTGTGTATCAATTATATTTATAATTAAATCTATTATATTTGTAGATCAAAGTGAAATATTTATTATTTTTATAGATCAAAGTAAAATCTATATTATTTTTATAGATCAAAGTGAAATCTATGTTATTTTTATAGATGAAATCTGTATATTTGTAGATATAATAGTGAAATTTATGTTATTTTTATAGATGAAATCTGTATATTTGTAGATATAAAAGTGAAATCTATGTTATTTTTATAGTTGAAATCTGTATATTTGTAGACATAAAAGTGAAATCTATGTTATTTTTATAGATGAAATCTGTATATTTGTAGACATAAAAGTGAAATCTATGTTATTTTTATAGATGAAATCTGTATATTTGTAGATATAAAAGTGAAATTTATGTTATTTTTATAGTTGAAATCTGTATATTTGTAGATATAAAAGTGAAATTTATGTTATTTTTATAGATGAAATCTGTATATTTGTAGACATAAAAGTGAAATCTATGTTATTTTTATAGTTGAAATCTGTATATTTGTAGATATAAAAGTGAAATCTATGTTATTTTTATAGATGAAATCTGTATATTTGTAGATATAAAAGTGAAATTTATGTTATTTTTATAGATGAAATCTGTATATTTGTAGATATAAAAGTGAAATCTATGTTATTTTTATAGTTGAAATCTGTATATTTGTAGACATAAAAGTGAAATCTATATTATTTTTATAGTTGAAATCTGTATATTTGTAGATATAAAAGTGAAATCTATATTATTTTTATAGTTGAAATCTGTATATTTGTAGACATAAAAGTGAAATCTATATTATTTTTATAGTTGAAATCTGTATATTTGTAGATATAAAAGTGAAATTTATGTTATTTTTATAGATGAAATCTGTATATTTGTAGATATAAAAGTGAAATCTATGTTATTTTTATAGATGAAATCTGTATATTTGTAGATATAAAAGTGAAATTTATGTTATTTTTATAGATGAAATCTGTATATTTGTAGATATAAAAGTGAAATCTATATTATTTTTATAGTTGAAATCTGTATATTTGTAGATATAAAAGTGAAATCTATATTATTTTTATAGTTGAAATCTGTATATTTGTAGATTATGGAGTGTTCCTGTATGGAGTTGGCATTAGAAGGTGAGAGGTTGTGTAAAGCCGGAGATTGTAAGACTGGAGTACAGTTTTTTGAGGCAGCAGTTCAAGCTGGTACAGATGATCTAAAAACACTAGGAGCTATTTATAGTCAATTAGGCAATGCTTATTTTTATCTACAAGAATATGGAAAAGCCTTAGAATATCATAAACATGATCTGAACATGGCAAGGTATGTACTGTTTCTCATTATCTTTATTTATCTGGACTGAAACGTTGATTCATTTGGTAGAATTGCTGGTATGAGATAGACATAGATATATATATATATAGACAGATTTTATCAGGATAGATTTAGATATTGTGATACAGAAACTTTTTATAAAAGGTTGGGCTCTATTGATTCTAATTCAAAGTCATTTATATAGCCATGCCTTAGATCTTAAATCCACTGTCAAATTGTCTTGTGCACACGGCACAGTACGCAAAGCATTTTCGTCAAGTGAAAAGTCATATTCTTAACAGACACAGTTACATTTTAATTTATCGAACAAGTCATAGGTATTAAAATTTAGTATATGAGTTTTGTTGCAATGCAGAATTTAGGTCTAGGATAACATTTCTATGTCATGTTATATCCATATCATGTCTTTATAAGGCAATTAAAAGCACGTGATTGGGTTGTTAATGATCTCAGAGTATAACGAGCCTCTGAAGATCAATTATAATTATTAACGGAACTATAAAACAGCTGTTTTTTTACAGCTTAATATACTGATAACAGTATTTGTTATTGCTACAATTTGTTATCATCCATATTGATCTATGCAGCCATATAGTTTTAATCTATTTACGATTATATACAAATGTAGATGACATGAGGCTCACATGTTGGGGATTTTTACCATTCGACTCCTGGATAGCATAATTTTGTTTGCTTTCCACAAAAAAATTGACAATATTTCTAATATGTCCTCAATCAGGATATTTATATGAAGGAACTAAATTAAATTCTCAAGTGTTGTCTTAAAGGGAAAGGTTTGCCATCGGTGTGACCAATCGTACCTTAGTCTCAGAAACGAAAACTTAGCTTATCAGTAATAGTGTTCACAGCTCACCATCCTAATTTGAGTCTTTAAATCCATGTGTGTCCAGAAATATACACGTTTGAATTTTAAAATGACGACTCATTTCTTGCTACCTTGCTATATAAAGAAAAGACATATAGTAAGAGAAAATTAAATTCCTAGTTTGAGGTATATGCGATTTTCGTACATTTCAAGTACTTCTGAAGACTATTTACATATATTCAAAAACCAAATCAACCCTCGAAAATGGCAAATCTGTGCCTTTAAAATCAACTGATGTTTCACATAGTTTTAATGGTTTTTAGGTTAATATTTATGTAATTGAGTAAAAGTTTATTTATGGTTTTTTGAAGTGTTTCCTTAAATGATTTCTGAGAATGAAAATTTTGAAATTGATATAAAGTGGATAATACTGTCTTGAAATATTCCTTGAAATATTCCTTGAAATATGTTACAGAAAGAAAACCTAGAATCTTGTAACAATATCTTTTTCAATTTTGTATTCCGTTGAAATATATTCCATAGAAATCATTACATTATATATCTAGCTATATCAATACCAGAAATTGAATTTTTTTGTAGAAAGAAAACAGAATTGTAAGCTTAATTTACAATATCTTGAAATCCATTTTCAATTTTGAATTCTGCTGAAAAATATTCCATAAAAAATCATGTTATTTTTATGCATAGAGCAATATTGATACCATTATTACACTCCATTTGATATTACTGTAATTGCATTATTTTGTAGAAAGAAAACATAGAATTTAGATTAAAATAATATCTTTTTCAATTAATTGTATCCCACTGAAACATATTCCCAAAAAATATTAATATAATTTTAGAAAATCATGATGTTATTTCTATCTATAGGGCAATATCGATACTATAATTTTAACAAATATAATATAACTGTCTGTAGCAGGCACATATTGAAATCTATTTACTGTTATATTTTATCAGCTGTATAAATCTAAATAATGTCAGTTAATTTATTTATTAGAAATATTTGCAGACTAGGCCAGACTGACATTGATTTTTTTAAATTGAATTTCGTTCAAGAAAGTAAATTCTATATATTTGAATGTGATTCTTGGCTAAGAATTTTAACAGAATATTGTATGTAATTGGATAAAGACTTAGGGTAGACTTAATTTGTTGTTGAGAAAGACTATCGTTCGACTGTATAGAGGTATCATATTTGAAACACTGGGATATTTTAGAAATAGCTGGTATTGTCTCATAGACATATTTATTGTACATCTTTTTATAAGTTTAGATACCAAATTTTGCTTTTGTCATGGTGAAAATTCTCGAAAAACTAGCAATCCAGATCGTAGCAACTTCCATGAAATGTGACGTTTTGTGTCTGGTCCTAAACATGCCAAATTTTCAATCTGTGTATCATGCCGGAGGAACAGGTAAAGCCACATTTATGGCTAACAGCTGAGGGGAACTAATAGTGAAGTCGTGTAGTAGAAATGTTGAGCCTTCAATCTTATAACCAGTGGCAGTGGAACATGAATAAGTAGTTAAATAAAACAGTAATAGTCATCAATAAAAGTGTGTTGTGTTTAAACTGAATATGTGTAAATTGCATGTATTTATTGATTCCAGAGCCCTATCAGATCGTGTGGGAGAAGCCAAGGCCAGTGGTAATTTAGGGAATACATTGAAAGTGATAGGAAAGTTTGATGAAGCTATAGCGTGCTGTAAACGACACCTGGATATCTCCAGAGAGATTAATGATAAGGTCAGCCAGCGTTATTCTTCAAGTAGAGATCAATTCTAATTTTATATACCAGCCCACAATCATTGGTTTCTAGTACACCCACATGTTTTTTAACAGAGCTGATATGTCAATTCAAACCACAAACACATGTAATAATAAAAATACATGAAAATACGGTATAATTGCAAATATCGTATGCATTTATAATGCCCTTTCCCCTTGTTATCATAATGCTATCATCAAGTGAATCTGGAAAAATCTCTGTCACAGTAAATAATATGCACATATATAACAAACAATATCAGAAGAGTTAATGATACCACCCCCTATTCCAGAACACCTTAACTTGGGCCCATCTGTAAACAAACAATTTGTTATGACCATTCGTTATGAACCATTACTATTTACAATAGCTAATAACAAAGTGGAATGCTCATGTATTTGTTTGAATTAGACAGAGATGTGGAAATGTATCTTTGCTTGAATGTGTAGATTGTTTAAAAGAAATATAGAAATAGTCATAAATAAAGAAGCACAAAATACATGGATAGACATGTACTCAAGGTTTCACATGCTCATACAGGCAGGGTTAGAATTATTACATCATGTTTTTTTTCTCTTGATAACCTTGCCTGTATGAGCATGTTAATAAATGTTAGAAATAGTATATCCATATATTTCATGCTTCTTTATAGTTGTGCATGTATCAAATAAAATATTCTTATAATTTGACAGGTTGGTGAATCCAGGGCGTTATATAATTTAGGTAATGTTTATCATACAAAAGGTAAACACGTTGGTCGAAGTGGAAGACAAGATCCGGGAGACTTTCCACCAGAAGTAAAAGACTGTTTACAGAAAGCTACTCAATTTTATGAGTAAGTGCTATAATGTTACCATTATCTTGCATGCATGATTCATTGTGTCATTTGAATGTAAACTTGCACTGTTAACTTGAATTCAATTGAAAATTTGTTCACTTATTTAAGGTAAAGATTCGCATGGCTTGATTTGAAGTTTGAATATATGTAAATAGTCTTCAGAAGTACTAAAATTGTACAAAATGCGAATAATTCTTTCAAAAATACCTCAAACTAGGAATTTCACTTTCTATTCCTCTATATTATTTCAGAATTTCTCTACATAGTAATGATTATGTATACTATTCTATTCCATCTGGGTTAAATCCTTATTAGCTTTATAAGAATGATTGAAGTTGTTGCAATAGACAAGAAATCTAATAATCTCCATGATATATATGTATTCGTTTCTTATTTCAGAGAGAATTTAAAGCTAGTACGAGAATTAGGCGATAAGGCAGCCCAAGGTAGAGCATGTGGTAATCTAGGCAATACTCATTATTTATTAGGCAACTTTACACAAGCAATCCTTTATCATGAAGAGGTGAGTATATTATAAATAATGCTGACACTATAAATGAGTGAATCGATACATCGCATATGACAGATTTTCAAATTGGTTTCTCCCTGTCAGTGATGCAGGTCTGAGAGTCCGACATGGAAGAACATTTGGTCGTTTAGATAGGACCATAAACCAAGGTTGTGGCTACAGGCTGTGCACATAAAGATCCAGCACAATATTGTTATCTATGGTCAGCTATTCTTTAAAACAATCATTATATTTTCAATGCACATGTTATTATAGAGATTAGCAATAGCTAAACAATTTGGTGACAAGGCAGCAGAAAGGAGAGCTTATACAAATCTTGGCAATGCTCATATTTTTCTCGGTGAATTTGAAGTAGCAGCTGAACACTATAAGTAAGTTGATATACCTTAATTAATATGAATTTATATCCTTTAATGTCAAATATACCAAACAAATCCAAAGAAAAAGCGTCTAGTCATTCGGATAGGACAAGAAACCGAGGCCCTATGTGCCACAGATTTTACATGTTAAGTATTCATCAAAAGTTTAAAATTGAAAAAGGCCAATGCCGTTGTCCTAGCAAAATTGCATGGCATGCTATTGAAATTTTATTAAAAGCTTGTGTCTATACTTTTGTTATGTTTGAGTTACTATTTTTCAGAAAAGAAATGATATTGAGTAAAATGCTGGAATAATCTCTTATACCTTACTACATTGTCTTTTATAGGAGAAGTTTACAGTTAGCCAAACAATTGAGTGATAAAGCATTAGAAGCTCAAGCATGTTATAGTCTGGGCAATACATACACATTACTACGTGACTATGAGAAGGCTATAGAATATCATATGAAACATCTACGTATTGCCCAAGAGTTAGATGATAGAGTAGGTGAGAGCAGAGCCTGTTGGAGTTTAGGTAATGCTCACACTGCTGTTGGAAACCATGAAACAGCAATTGAATATGCAAACAGACATTTACAGCTATCCCAAGAGGTATGGGCTGTTTTTATTTTGTAACTATGCAACGTTTTGAATGTATAGATTTTTTCTTTGACATTTATCTTGATTCTCTCATTGGTCATTGACATTAATTTAGTTTGGGAATTGTTGGGAGTAAATTAATACTGATGTCTGATTGTCACATGGGAGCCGCGGTGGCTCAGTGAGTTAGACGCTTGCTCGCTAATCTGAAGGTCCAGGGTTCAGTCCCGGGATAGGTCGAGATAATACCTTTGAATTTTTCAACCCAGTTTCCCCCTGTAAGTGATGCAGGTAAGAGGGACTGACATGGAAAAAGCGTCTAGTCGTTCGGATGGGACAATAAATCGAGGCCTCGTGTGCTACAGGCTGTGCACGTTAAAGATCCCTCGACAGTTGGAAATCGAAAAAGAGCAGGCTAATGCCGCTGTCCTGTCACCCTGCATGGCGTCGCCCGTCTTCATTAGCCCACAAGGTGCAGAAGAGTAGGACGTAAAACTCCATTCATTTCATTTTTTTCTGATTGTCACATAAAATGTTAAGAATATGAGGTATATGATGATAAATTATCATTTGAAATAAGTCAGAACATGGTCATGTGACATTCAGTCCATGTGATGTCATTGCTACATGATGACTTAAAATCCCATGAAATATGGTCTGCATATTGTTTCATAGAAATTCTATAAATTTTGATACAGACATGTATATCTTATGTAAATTTTGCCCTACTGTAAGACAAAGATAGTTACAAGTATATATATATATATGATTTATATTCTCTAGATAGGAGATGAAAATGGTCAAATAACAGCTAAAATGAATATAGCTGATTTACGTTCAGCCTTAGGTATAATTTCTAAAGATTCCAATGGGTTAGTATCAACTTTTATTTAAAGATTTAACAATGGTCTTAATAGCATTAGTTTGATATGTAAAGACAACCCATCACTGAGTTAAAGAGGATGTTGTGATAAATTATTTGTCAGATGTCTGTAGTTCCTGTAAATATAGAAATACTTAATCGCAAAATACTAATGGTATCTATTGTTGAATTTATGCTATAATGTAAATTATTTCTCTAGATTGGTATTATTATTTATTAATATGTCTGGTATGATGTATCAGTGGAATCTATACAATGTGATACAGTATGTGATGATATGTGTTTTGCATGGCCATGTATAGATATTTTCCGAGCAAACTTGCTCATTCAAAATGAATTTCAGTCAGGCTGATAAAAGTCAAATAGATAATTGTAGAGTGAAGTTATTTCTGTGTAATATTTTAGTTATGGTAATGAAAATGATGAAAATCTCCACAGTGGAAGAAAATTACCAGCTGATGTTAGTGATGTAGCCTTAAGTAAGTAATTGTCTAACTGAAAACTTAATGGGCTTGTTTTGAGTTTTTGTACCTTTTTATTTCGGGGCCATTAATGATTCCTTTTTGGTAATTCCAATTTTCGATCTGTTGGTCCTTTGATTTTATAAATGTTTAACCCTAAATGTGGTCGCCACAATAGGTGGTAATAATATCTAAGGGCATGTGCGATAACAATTAGTTTCAGTGGAATTACAAGCCCTCAGCGTGATTGGGGCAATGGTATAAAAATCAATGCCATTAGTGTCCTTGATACACATAAAAGTGTAGAAAACCTGGGGTCAATCTACTATGGTCTAACTCACACAGTCTACAGTTGATAATGGTTCTTAAATATCAGTTAATGGTCTTAAATGATTAGAGTTATTACTTATTAATGACATATATATCACAGTTTTAACTGTAATATACAGCTAATCACTGATTTGGTAATAGGTTGTTCATTGTTCAAATATTATTCATTGTTTCTCAGGTAGAAGACCATGTCGTGCCAGACGTCATAGTATGGAGAATATGGAACTGGTTAAATTAACCCCTGATAAAAAGGTAAGAATAGTCAAGTATATTTGAAATATTGGCAGATTATAGTATATCAAGGGAGATAATTTGTAAATCAAAATCATTTATGGCTTCTTTTTGCATCATTCTAATCTTCTATAATATGTCTATGGTTTCTGTAATTATAGAAATGCTGAACCATATATGACATCATAATCGCAAAGGCTGCTATAATAATATCCAAGAGAATATTTATAAAGTCTTTTACTCTTGCCTTCTATTGTTTAGAGCTCTTCATTATTTCTGTATTTGAAAGGACATTATTTGAAAAATACGGTTTATTTTACATATTATTTAGACGTCACCATTGAGTGGAGGAGCTCGACCGAAACAGAAGTTACAGAAAGCAGCTAGTATAGCTGTAGAACCATTAAGAAATAAACACTGTCGTAAAGCTTCTGATGGTCTCATTCATTCAGAAGAGGTAAGAGAATTGCCCTTATTTAAAAGAGATCTTGAAACGATCTCATGTTCTAAACTTCTAACACTGTTTCTGGGTTATTCTAGCACCAAGATCGTTTCAATAATATATAGCAAGAACATTAATTTAACATCATATTTGCAACAGGTTTATCCAGATCCCTCAAGAGCTATAATGATGCTTTGGCAAAATTTTCTTTATATCACACTGCATAGCATCATCTGTCTTTTCAATTTAGTTCAAATTACATTTTATTTTCTTTCACCATAATTCACATATAAATGTGATGAAAACTGAAATATCTGGCCTCTCTGATTAGATGAAGATGAAACATATTTCACACTGCAATCTTCAGACAGCTGAAGTAGTAGGACTCGTTCTCGTGTCTGCATTTCATGACAAGTTTGGATGGTTTTATTTCTATATCGTTTTACAATTGATGTACTGAGCACTATTTTAACAAAGAAAATATTTTATTATTAGCCTACATATACTTTGTTTTGTATGTTATACAATGTAATATGAAAGCTACACAACCAAGTGAAATCCATCAGCCCTGATGTTCTGTTATATTTACAGCAGGTTGATGAGACCACGGCAGATGAAGATAACTTCCTGGATTTACTTAGCAGATTTCAGAGTCGGAGAATAGATGAACAGAGATGTTCCTTTAGAACTGCCGATGATCCTGTACCTAATAATACTGGGCAACAAGCACCTCCTTCACCAGAAAATACAAATGGTCCTCTACCACAATCAGGTAAAAATTGGATTCTTCTGATTGAACTTATCATGTGTTGAAAAAAAAAGAATTGAGAGACAGAAAAGTATGTTTGATGTCATGATGATATTTCTGACGGATAATTCATAGGCCTTGAAACATTGTAACTTTTGAATAAATGTAATTTTGGCTAGAACCTGTTAATTTAGTTAGGAAGAGGTGTGTATTATATATTATAAGAGCACTATATTAGCAATTATACAGTATATGTCAGAGCATGGCTTTTAATGTATTTTTTTTGTCAACCAGACAGTTTTCAACGACCTGTGAAATTTGGTCTCAATTTCCCCTTGAGAGAGTGTCTATATATTATACCAGTATTGACATGAGGTTGGGCAAAGGAGAGGTCAACTGTGTCATTTAACCAACAGTTCTACTTCTCTTGAGGATAAGGACCGTCTTTCATTTGAGCTCCCCTGTCGATCATGACCGGTAAATAGAGTCAAATTAACTCGGACAAAGTGCCTGAAATGTTCATTGGTCAGCTGGAAGGATAGTAGACCTTCTATATTGTAGTTAAGTATATATTAAAAAAAATAACATATCAGGAAATATTGAAATATTTTAGGTACTGAAGAACTGTTAGATATGGTAGCTGGTATACAAGGTTCCAGGATGAATGATCAAAGAGCAGAATTACCACGATTTCCAGGTTTAAGTTCAGGAGAGGTTGTTATTGGTCAATATTTACATCGTCCTGACGACCAGAATAGAGCTGATGAAGATTTCTTAGAAATGTTAATGAGAAGCCAGGTAAGTTTGTTTTCTGGTACTTATGGTATAACTGATGAATATTATGTGTCCTGTTCTATGCTCCTTTTAGATGAAATTACTTTATTGCTAGGTTTAGAAATTGAAGGTCTATATTCAAACCACCTGTTTGTTTCTCTTCATTGAAGAGTTCCCATAAGGGGAGATAACCTATGGTGATTCAGGCAACAAACTTTAATACACAAGACGTTACAGCTTTTATCATTATATTGCACTGTTACACAACAGAATTACATGCCATGTTTATATTTACAGGCAACGCGTTTAAATGATCAAAGAAGTGCTCTACCTCCTTTACTACCTGCTCCTACCTTACCTGACGATGATTTCTTTAACCTAATACAGCGTGTACAGTCATCTCGATTAGAGGAACAGCGAACAGATCTACCCAGTAAGAAATCAAGTATAAAAGAGAAAAAGAAGAAAAAGTAAAGAAAATGGCTTCACTTTTGTTTATATTGAGTTATATTTTCAGCAAATAATTTAAGTTTGTGAGGTACATGTATAGTCTTTTTGTTCAAGTTTGCATTTAGTAGCGTGAGGTATCGGTTAAACAATCCATTGTGAAACAACATGCAACGTTAAGAGATCATATCACATGGTCGTGTATCAATACTTTCTAATATCTGGAATACCTGACAAGACATACAACCAAACCTCATCCAAGAAGAAGAAATCAAAAGTAGCATTTCCTTTGTTGAACATTAATGTGACAATAGTCTGAAGACAATATATTACTAATAATATTATTTGGTTGTCTTCTGCAGGCTTTTGGTTTTTTGTTAATGAAAACAAGTTTAGTTTATCATTAATTAAATCTTTGACTACTAGTCAGATATCCATAAAGGGGTTTTGTTAAGGTTTTCTTAACATTTTATGTATATTGAGGAAACTTATAGCATCGATTTGCACCATTCCAATTTTCAATCATTGGTTCATTCAATTTCACCTGAACTAGGTGTTTTATGATGTCACCATCGCAGAAGACCTTATATATTAATAGCAGATTTTGCAACAGTGACCTGTTAAAAAGCTTAGTTTTAGTGGAATCGCAGGATGAACAGATGTCCTATTGAAAATCTGAATGGTGCAAATTGATGCTATCAGTTTCCCTAATGTACATAAAATGTTTAATAATAATAGATCTGAATGCAAATTGATGTTGTAAGTGACATAATACACATAAAAAGTTAAGAAAACCTTTTCACAATCCCTTTAATTAGTACTTAAGATTTTGAAATATGTGATTAGTAAATATGCAATATGAATGGCAATACTTGTAAATATAACCCATTATTTTCCTTGGTGCAAAATCGAGTAGAATTGTTTTAGTTTAGAATTCAGTGAACCATTAAATCGAAATCGAAACATGTAGAATTCAAAAACCAAATCAGACTTACCTTGCTTCAATTTTAAGTTTGGTTTAGATTCTGTGATTCTGTGAGTGTAGAGGATCTGCCTTTTCTATTTAGCCTTTAAAATGTACTAGTCAATATCTAGTTACAGAAGATTGTTTTTTTGATGTAAAGTAAAAAAAAAAACAGTACATAAATGACATATTCATTACATCACTGGGGTCTTATTCTAGAAAACTTAAAATAGATTATTTTATTGGTCCTGTCATCTGATTGGTCAATCCCTAAAATTGATCTTAAATTTAGTTTTGTTACCAAATCAGATTACTATCTGGATTTTATTTAAGTTAAGTTTTGGAGAATAAGGCCCTAGGTTGCTTAAAGGTTAAGTTAGTGTTTTAATTTCAAAACCAGGTTTGCGAAATGTTATTAGCCATAAACTGTTAATGTTTGTTATGTGTTACCAAAAAAACAAAAAATCTTGTGAAATCCATTGAACAATACTTTTTATACAAGTGTTGTGTATGAGGAGGGGGGGTAGGACCCTTGAAAATTTTTTCTTTAGTTACAAAATTATTGAATTAAAATGGAAGTCATTATCTATTTGAATTGTCATCAATGGATATGAACTATTTTTGTAAATTCATGAAAATTCACATGCATTTCATCTGGCCAGAATGCTTTTCAGTAATGTTGACTACACATTTTGTTTTCAGAAAGAAGTTGTTAGTGTTCATCTATTATATAAGGTTTAATAAAGTGCTAATAGTTTTGTGTAATATTCATTGTTTATTTCATTATCTTTATATAGATAAACCAATTTTCATCAATATGTGGTTGAAATCTGTTGTATATTATATCATTAGACCAATTTTCATCAATATGTCATATTAGATGTGTTCATTACATCTAAATAGATCTAGTTTAGTACAATTATCATGATGATATGAACTATTGTCTGAGCAAAGCAAAAGTGTTTGATTTTTTTCTTGTTTTTTTAAAAGAATTGGAAGACTAAAAATGTGCTCATGTTTATATTTTTATCAACAATGTATGACTAACAATACTGATTTGAGGCTGCTATTCCAAAATAATGGGGATAAAAACTAAAATAAACTTGTTACTTTGCACAGACAATATCTCTTACTGACAGTTTGATCTTGTATAACAATTACATAGACCACAGGATAGGTTATGTCTCTGAAAGTTTTGAATCTTTACAAGTACATTGTTAAATAGAAATATTCTGATATTCTACGACTTGCATTAGATATGATTATTTTAAATCTAAATACTGTAGACTTAATACTACGACTTATTCTGCATTTTTAAAGATTTAAATTTTGCCTCACCCCTAAACTTCTGTCATGAAGACTGCCTATTAAGGTCTATAATATGAATGTAGTGTTGAGTTTGGTGTGGAATTACAACATATTATGGGGATTTAGAGGGTTTGAGTTTATATTAGTAAACTACCGCAAGCCTTACCAACTGTAAAAGAAATATTAAATGTTATTCGAAAAAACATTCAAAGAACTAAATATTAAAACTAATGCTCTGCCTTATTTGTTAATGCCTTATTCAGTAGTTAGTATGTTTGCCTTGTTGTAATTCTTATGAAAAGGAATATCATGCTTTATTTTTTTGCAATAGTTTCATCATAAAGCAGTTAGTTTTAGTGGAACTGCAATGGTGGAAAACGATGCTATTAGTGTCCCCTATACAGTATTGTAGTTAAATATAAAAGTTGAGCAAACCCTTAAAGAAATATCTGTAATATTTGTTCATGTTTTGTATTAAATTGTATATAATCTAGTTGAATCTCAAAGCTTTAAAATTGTAGATTGTTATTGTTATTTATGACTTTTACCAGAGTTTCTATCAATCATTCTTTCATTATGTACATGATAATAAATTTGAAAAGGGGAGGGGGTTGGCTCTTTTTTTTGAGGGTCTGTGGACTTTGTAACTGCGCTGTGAGTACTCTCCATGTAGGGTGGATTTCAGCACTTTATAATTACTTTATGATAACTATTATTACTGTTATTGTTAGAAACTTCTATGTTGATATATAGACACATCTTTATGAAACAACAATGTCTGGTTAAAGTTTCGAAGTGTTCCCCCCCTCGTCCCCAGAATTATAAGAGGTGACAGGCAAACTATATATATACATGTATAGTGATATAACCAGTGATTGTTATTCCACAAAGCTGTGTTTATATATCTACTCACAGTTGCTAAATACCATTCAAGGACTATGTTGATATGGGAGTCTCTCTATAATGATTATAATGGATCAGATTTGAAGCATAATAAGACCACTTTATTTTAGGGACAATAAATGGTAATTGAAATTATACATTCTGTACTATACATTGAAATTGAAGTCTACCTAAAAATTTAGTGGACTGGCCATGTTATAGTATTCAATTTGACCAGGATGTACATTAAATCTCTTTATTGTACTTTTCCATAATGTATTCTGATGCCTGATCTTTTAGATTGGTTTTGAAACATTATAACCATGAAAATTCAGCATGAATGGATTGTGTCTTGTGCACTATTCAGATTTAGTCACAGGACCGTATCTACAGGGGCACCTGAAAAAATGGATTGCTCCCCTTAAAAAAAACCTGACGACCGACCAATTCCATTTCCATACACCATTGCCCCTCTGGATATATTACTTACCCCTCAAAACAATCATGGTTAGTCAGCTTTTATTAATGAGCATCTTCACAATGTCTTGCTATTATGAAGATGATTTTTGAGTAAACCATACTTGTCATATAGTTTGTAAGTTGACTGATATTGGTAATGATTCTGATAGTACGGTACCGTGGTGTGATATTATATTGTATACAGTCAGGTCTCTTATTACTTGTTACACCCAGAATCGTTGTGTTCATGTATTTCTTTCTATTTTGTAATAAAAATGTGATTATTATAAGTGCTAACCAATTAATCATATTGTATAAAATTTTTGTATTATAGACAATTGTAGAAATATACTATTTATAAATCAGTCGTTTTCATGATATAACAAGTGGGGTTTATGCGAATCATAAGGTGCAGGGGCCACAGAATTGTCAATGATGGAAATATATCAGTCAGTTTTTTTCATGATATAACCAGTAGCGTTTATTAAGGGGGCAAACAGCTTCAGTCTTCAAATGATAAACTTAAAACTTGGGCTAAAGCCGGGGATACCTCGTAATCTGACATGTACTAAGAGGATATTTAGATGCTGGGCAAGTCTGTCTCTTTCATAAAGACTATTATTTCAGTATTCCAGTATCAATATAATACCAATATGGACATAATTTACAGTAACTGTATAAGCAGATGTGGTGATGTCTATCGAAGTTTTTTGAGGTGGCACCAGACTTTAATTTGCTGATTACCATTTGTTATATGTAACAAACAAATGAAGCCAACGTTCTTACGTCCTCACATGCCTTCATGGTATCTCCATAGCGTGCAAGACAAATAATATAGTACCGTGAATTGAGATAAATTTATTTAAACAATATTTCAGAAATTCTGTAGAAATTTGCGTGTTATCTTTAGTTAGGACATGTTTCCGGAATACAATCTTCATTTGGATTGGTGATACTGGCAAACTTATAACAACAGTTAGGCAGTTCAACGAAGCGGCATCCTTGCATACGTCCTGTTTTATGAAGAGCTGAACCGATACTGAAACAAACAGCAAATGTACTTAATATTTCACTTTTAGCTGGGTATGCAAATACTTGATAAGGGGTTGAAAACCAAAACCGACTTTTGGAAGCACTGATTTCTGTGTATCAAATTGCCATATTTTCTACTTTGGTATTGTTCATTGGATATTAGCATAATGATTGTTAATCTTTCAGCGGCATATAAGAAGCACAAGATAGATAGATAAGACAATTTTATGGATAGATACTTGTGGTATATTTATTACTTCAACGTTTGAATGTGGTTCTCACATCGTCATCAGGAATATAATAATAATTTTATCTATCCATAAAATTGTCTTATTTAAAATGATTGTTGTAAACATGATTTTAACCCAGTACCAGCGCCCACTGTTGAATATCAAGTTTGTTACACTTGAAAAGTAATTTTACAAAACCCTAAAGGGTGCTTCGGAGAGTTGGCCCGGTGTCGGCTGTCACCTGTTAATACCTAATCTCTTATGGATGGAAACGGTTTGACATTTTTGTTGTTGTTAAATATGGATATCAGAGCTAGAGAGTTCAGAAATTGGCCTTCAATGCTATACTTACCTTACACAGTTGAGACCATATCTAAAAGAACAATTACAGTCGAAACAATCTGTTGTTCTTAAACTTTCACCAATATTCAAATAATTATCGCCCGCTTTACAATAATATTCGGGTACGCCATTTGCATCTATCAGACAAAAATATCATCATGAGTTTATATTCATTGCGAATATTTGCTTGGGTAATTATAAAACCATATTTTGATACTAGATGGTGAGTATAATTGCAATGTTCTATCTATCATAAAAACCCAATTCTGTTTTCGATGGGTTGCTTCGATGAAAAAGTTATGTTATTCAACTTCCCAACACCGCATAGCTGCCAAAGAAACCACAATACTGCAATACATGTAATTACGCAAAAAATCTAGAAATGAGAGTAAACTAATCAAATGCAGCGATAGGGTTTTATGCAACGAAATGCAAGTTTTTACCAATGGAAAAGTTGTCTTGGAGTAAAAATGAAAATTAATACCTAAAGACATTCGAAGTGGTGCTCCCCATGTGCCTGCGTCAGCCACTACAGCTAGCGATCCCAGAATCAGAACCAAGCAAGTTAAATCAAACATAATGGTAGTTTGCTAGAGGTTGACAGCAAGGCGAACTATTTGGTTGTGACCTATTATATGTAATTGTAAAGATAAACGGAAATTGCCGCGATCTAATAATGAGCTTCTATAGGAAATTTGGGTACTACGTGAATTCGACTACAGTAACCTTTATACACAATTCGGAAATATATTATCACAGTAGTATGAAGTAAAATTTAGTTTTCGAGTCCGAAAATCACAAATGAATCTCTTTTAGTGGAAATCATATTCAAATTAGAATCAGACGTGATGCGGTATTAATTTTGTGGCAACCACGGTCTATATTAAACTTGTGGGAAGACATTCTACATTATATACCATTGCAAATTTACAATAAAATTGAAAACAGACTTGCATATCTGGTTCTTACGATCATTTTTGATCAAGAACGGTATTTCTCAACGTAAATTGATACACTGAGGACAAATTCTAACCGTAAGTCTATTTTGGGGAAACAGGACACATTGACCATAATGTATTTTTGACATTATCTTATCTAACTAAGTTCTCTTCTTTCATTTTAATTAGTCCATACAAAACAATTAATTAGGCCAAACGTAATTAAACTTTAAAGGAACAATTGAAGACTTCCTTTTGTTTTTTGCTTCGGTTCTTTTTAAGTTATTGTTGAGGGAAAATTTTGTGATCAGTTCTTATTTTCTATATTTCTGTTAATGTTTTGTATCTTTCACTCTTTTTTGATTCATCTTATATCAGTTGTTCACATCAATCAAAAAAATAATCATAAAAAACTGTGATATGAAATGCGTCTACAATGTCAGAAAATCTAGGATTTTAATCAAAATCGTTTCAAATTTCCTTAAAATGATAAAATCTTGATGTTGAATTTCTAAAATGGCCTAAATCATCAAGTATACAGATACAGGAAACAGGGTCAAGCAGACGACGTATATATTACAAGACAAAATGGCTAACCGGATTTTACTTCTACCAAACATTTTATTTCTATTATTTGGATTAATTGAACGTTGCGAATCGACGAGGTAAGACTTTACTAAAATATCAGAAGTATGGAATGTAGAGATGTTAAATTTTGGTGGAATTTATTTCAGCGAGTCTGAAGTTTACATCCTTCAAAATTTGTTAAGAAACTTGTACCGAACATCATTGTATCAAATAAAATACAATGATTTGGATTGTAAATTATCAATTTTTCTTTCTCTCCACCATCGTCGGCCCTTAATTTTCTTGTTTATAGTATTTATTTTGTTAATAAAACCTAACATTGTTGGTAACATACCACACGGTCCGAAAACACCCACCTGGTTGTACCACAGACGAGGTTCTCTAAGTTTTAATGGATTTTAATGGACAGCAATCGGGGTTGTTTAGTTGAGACAACTGTATTTCAGGGACTAAAGCAGCACTTTGATTACAATAGGCAGACCTAAACAAAAACTATTATATTTATTTCCTAGTCCAGTATTTTTCGTTGTGGCGCCCAATGTGCTAAAAGTAAACGTTGAAGAGCTGATAACAGTAACGACATTTGGAGATGTTGAACAACTGGAAATGCAGATTTATCTTCAAGATTTTCCTGAACAGAAACATAACTTCTCACATCGACAAATTACTGTTAGAAATGGTACGTAAACTTATGTGAACCTTTACATATCAGAAATACGTTTGATAACAATAATAAACTCTATATTTTTCATGGGTCAGAATTCGACCCATTACACCAAAGTCCTGTTTCATATTAGGCACATGGGATATAAGTGATACATTAAATGGATTGGTAAACAGATCCCAAATCTAAACAGCCATTTTTAACTATTGTATACATTAACTTAGAAGCCATGTATGTTCTCTTGCAGATGAAATTACCAACGTGACAGTGAAGTTGTCCGTGGAAGATGCCATGAGCTTAGAAGCAACAGCTCATTATATCTACCTTGTAGCCGAGTCATCGTCACCCAATACCCCATTTAAACAAACTACTAAATTGTTACTAGATTACCATCCAGGATATATCTTTATACAGTCAGATAAACCCATTTACACACCCGGTCAAAAAGGTAATTGCCATCATGTTTATACACCCAGCTGAACAGGTAATTGTAATATGTTACACACCGGGTCAAAAAGACAATCATAATGCACTACATACACCCGGGTAAAAAGTTAATGGGATATGTAACACACCCGGTCAAAAAGGTAATTGCAATGTACTAAACACATGGTAATTGTAATGTGTAAAACACCCGGTCAAAAAGGTAATTACAATGTACTAACCACCCGGTCAAAAAGGTAATTCTGTATGTACTCGGTTGAAAAGGTATATGTACTTGTAATGTGTCATACACGCGGTCGAAAAGGGTAATTGCAATATGTCATACACACACATTCAAAAAGATAATTGAAATATGTCACATCAGATCAAAAAGGTAATTGCAATGTTATAATATACCCGGTCAAAAAAAGCCAAAAACGGTATGATGTTTTCAAATAAAAAATTTATTTACATTGTCCACTAATTTACTTGTATGTGCGCCTCATAAAAAGTGGTTGTTATATCCCTAATTGTTTTGCATCATCTCATAATAAACCAACGATCAGATTTGGTTTGTTTCTCGATTAAGATATAAATGATAAGTCTTTTGGGACGATTGTGTTGACCTAATCAGATATTAATGAGATTTTGTTACTTTTTAGTAAATGTAAGAGTAATAGCACTAGATGAAAATACTCGCCCTGTAGATTGGCCTGTTCAAGTTGATATTGTAGTAAGTATTTTTTTACTCAAGCGGCGAATCGATTTTTCTTCTGTTTTTTTGTCTCCTATTTAATCTAACACGTTTTCCACCACAGTCCTGTTCTAATGATGTTATTTCTACCAAATGAAAGTGTGTCAAGTCAAGCCCTCTTTTTTTATAACAATGACAAATTGGGGATAGCGAAACCCAAAGTTAAGCATTATTTTGTTCAAGAAATAATGTCATCGGAACATGCATGCTGTAGAAAACTTGCTAGATTACAATAGACACACAACAGATCACAAATAACGAGACTAGTATAGATACAAATTAAACCAGATCAGAACAATATTAAAGTATACGATACATTTCTCTTTCAGAACCCAGACGAGGTGACGGTAAGTCGATCTAAAAAGGAAGGAACAGTTGCCTTTCATTTAGAAGAATTAGAAATCCCTGATTATCCCGTGTTTGGTAATTACACAGTTACCGCTTCATTTGCTAACGGAGTAAGTATTTAAGCACAACATAGTACTTTCTTTTACCATAACAAAAATACTTGGATGTTTATCCAGACCCTAAACAGATGAATATATTCTCTTTGGACTCATTCTTAACCACAGTTCAGTGAGGTTTCTTGCTATCTGCACATGCCGTAAATCCAATATTTCAGTCAATCCCAATTTCCGAGTCGGATGTCCCGATGAGGATCTTGTTTTTTAAGGTAACACGAGAAATCGCTCAAAAGATTACAGGACGGTATCGGTACCAATTACAATTCTTCCCACTATGATAATCAACTTTATAATAATTTCATAATTTTCTAGGTCAAAACTTCGTCAAGTATTAGATTTGAAGTTCGCGAATATGGTAAGTATTCCCGTTTATTATCATTATCCAATGCCTTATTCTCGTATAAAATTTAGTTATCTCCATCCTCATTCTGCATCTGCAACTCATCAGTATCAGCATCTGCACCAGTATCAGCATTTGCATCTGCATTTGCATTTGCATCTGCATCTGTATCAGTATCAGTATCAGTATCAGTATCAGCATCAGCATATACATCTACATCTACATCTGTATCTGTATCATCATCTGTATCACCATCTGTATCAACATCTGCATCAGCATCTACATCTACTTCTACATCTACATCCTACATCAGCATAAGCATAAGCATAGGAATAGGAATCAGAATAACAGCCAGCATCAGATTTGTCATCATCAGAGTCATCGTCTGAGTGAGCATCAGAGTGAGCATCAGCATCGTATCGTCTACATCTTCAGAGACAGCATCAGCGTCATCATCATCAGAGTTAGCATCATCATAAGTCAGAGACTTTAGAATCTTCATCCTTCTTTATTTGTATGAACAGGGTCATCCGTATTACCAGAATCACCCTTCATCTGTTTCCGTAGAATCTTCGAAAAAAAATACATCTCCCTATCCATATCGCTACCTTTTGCATTCTCATTTCACCAATCAATAGACACTCATCCATCACACCTATACATCGAGGATCTATTTCAGTCACCTCTATCAAAAATGTTAAACCTAAAACTTATATTCGACCATCCTTCGTTGTAAACTTGTCCCCAATTCCATCCAAAGCTTCGCACCGAAGTGTAGTGATAAGCGAACACAGCGAGTACCAGTTTACCTTCGTTGATGCTTTTCATTCTAGTATTACCACATTTTACTGTTTTATTCGATGTTGAGGATGAATATCAAGTTATTCTACCAGATCATAAAGAAATTAAAGCTAATTTAAATGCCAGGTAATATTACATATCTTCTGCCATTTCCAATAGTAAATAAAGCTATGCACTATCCCCCCAAAAGATCAGGTGGTTCGGATAATGAGCATGCCTTAAATCCACGCTTTCCTCATTGTGGAAAGCTGAATTCGCATTTGCATTGATTTCTGTTAATGTACTTCTAACAATATAGTTGTATTTCTAGGTATGTGTTTGGTAAACCTGTGAGAGGTCATATCACAATATCCTATGGATTAGTTTGGCATGGTCATACATTTATACTTGGTAGACAACGAAATATTCAGGTAAATCGACTTGTGATATATAGTTAGATCATATACGTTAGGTTTTTAAAGAAGTTGACGGTGGGAAATTTAAACAATTAAGTGAGCCACGTAATAGACAATTTAAAGAATGCTGATTGGATGAAAAAAATGGCCTAGGTTTTAACTTTGTATCATCTATTTTATGTGTTTTATGTATACATTATTAATGACCGATGAATATAATCATGTTTTCCCTGTTTACGCAGCTATCAATGTCAGGAACAGCTACAGTTACTATCAAAATCGAAGATATTCGTGTCGCATCACAATCGATGTGGTTTCCCAATGGTGGCAGGTTGTTCCTAGAGGCAGCTGTAACAGAAGAGGCTTCAGGACGAGTGGAACATGCAGTAGATCAAAGCATAGTATTTGCCAAATCACCTTATATTTTGAAGTTTACTCGATGTTCACGGTATTTTAAACCAGGTCTGCCATACGTTATACATGTAAGTTCGCATCTTTTTCATAAAAAATAAGGTTAGTGTTTAATTCATTTGGAATTTGAATGACAAAGGACAAAACTCCTCTATAAGTACATTTTAAATGATTAAAGAGATTATTGCTTTATACAGCATTGTGGAATTGTGACGTCGCTGAGTGAATGCGCCTAATCCCAATAAATTGTAGGTTGATGCAATAAGATCTAATGGTCAGCCAGCGCGCCATCTACCGGTTATCATTGAAGGTAAAGGGGAGGTAAAAGAAGAGACAGTTATCATTACACCACTGATGGCTGATGATGAAAAACTAGAAACTGATGCCGATGGTCGCCTCGCTACAGAACTACTTCTACCAGCAGGCATTAAAACATTGGCTATAATAGTAAGTATATTTGAATAATTATTTAATAGTTTTTATCTAAATATATAGGGATTCTGTGGTGATATAGTTATGGCACCCGAATGATGAATATATATACTCATATTGACCAGGTTTTGAGAATTAAAATTCATGTTCAATCTGAAAGGTAATATTCTTTTAAAACATTTTTTTTTCATTTCTGTAGATAAGAACCAAGATTCCAGACTTACCGGAAGTAAATCAAACGGAATCGTACTTTGCTGCAGTACCATATTACAGTCCGTCTGATACGTATATGTCCGTCAGAGCTTTACCAACTGTTATGGTAAGTATGTGGATCTAGAGGCTGAGTGACAAATTATGAGTTTCAAAAGAGGATGATTTTAAGGGGCGAATTGAGCAGCTCTTGGCTCCCTGGATCCACATCCCAATTATACCTTCCGGTGAATTCAATGAGACCAAAAAACAAAGCCCCAAAAGGAAGCATTGTAATCGAAATTTTGCGTCTCGTGTTCCGACCCCCAGGCCTTAGATTATGTAAGAAGCACGAAAGTTTTCTCGATATTCGACCAAAATTTAAAGAAAATTGTTTTATATAGAGATGCTTGGGAAGATATAATAAATTTTGGAACAATTTAGATATGTGGTTATATTTCAGGACGAACCCAGTGCTATACCTTCAGTAGGTGAATTTATGACTGTAGAAACAATGAATACGGAGCCAGATCTCCTAGAGTACATCAACTTATTGGTACGTAAAAACTTATATTTTTTTACATTTATCTATTCAACGACTTATATTTAAACAGTGTTACCAAGATTCAGTTATCATCAGTATACGTTTCGTGATCATCATCGTAATTATCACCATTCACAATATCCTCTTCCGCTTCTTCATCCTTCCCTTCTTCCATCTTCTTCCTTAATCCCTCTTTTTGCTCCTCCTACTTGTTCTTCTCCGCTTCTCTTCGTCTTCCTGCTTCCCTTTATGCTCTAGTTCCTCCTCATCGTCCTTCTGCTCATCATCATCAACATTACCATCTCCGTCTTATCCCCCTCCTTCTCATCTTTATCATCATCACCACACTCCAGCTCCTCCTTATCGTCCTCAAGCTCCCCTTTTCATTTTCATCCCCATCATCACCAAACTCAAGCTCCTCCTCCTTATCATCTCCATCATCATCATCATTGTCATCACCAACCTCAAGCTTCCCCTCGTCTCCTCCTCCTTCTTATCTTTACATTGTCATCACCGACATCAAGCTCCACATCTTCTGCTCCACTTCCTTTCTCATCTTCATCATCATCACCAACATCAAGCTCCTTCTCATCTCCATCATCACCATCGTCATCACCAACCTCAAGCTTCCCCTTGTCTCCTCCTCCTTGTTATCTTTACATCCCCGACTTCAGGCTCCACCTCTTCTGCATCATCACAGCCACACTCATCTTTATCAGCAGTATCAACTTAAAGCTCTTCCTATTCTACTCTTCTTCCTCCGTCTCATCTTTATCACCATCAACCTCAAGCTCTTCCTCTTCTCTCCCCCTCCTCCTTTTCATCATAATCATCACCATGGAATTCTATTTACACCTCAAGCATTATCATTATTATTATTATTATTAGAGACTCCCATAACATGTTTATACTGCAGGTGATAGCAAAAGGGCGAATTGTTCACCATACCAGAACCAGAGCTTTGGCTGGTCAGAGAACCAACTTTTATATACCAGTAACATCTGATATGTCTCCCAGTGCAAGAATCCTTACGTTTTCTTTGCGAGGTACTGGGTCGGGATGTGAGGTAGTAGCGGATGCTACATGGCTAGATATTGAAGAGCAGTGTGCTAACGAGGTAAGAGGAATGTTTCAGCCACTAATTAAATCAACACATCTCCATCGATTGTAAAGAATATCTTTAAAGATGGGTTTCCTTATTTTCATTTATGATATTGGAAATGCTATGCTTATATGAATAGAAGGTAGAGGTGTTCTAATGACGTGGAAAAGAACCAGTTTGTCTCAAATGTCCATAATTAATACATAATTAGCTAAATTAGAAGAGAATTACCAACAGAATTCAAAAGAGTGACCGATTAAGAAAGGTTAAAAATCCTTTTTTTTGTTTATCCAGACTGTTCAATCATGGACATTTATGATTGGTTAAAACTCTTAATTATATGCAATAAGAACATAATGATAGACTAAGAATACATGATAATTAATTAGAAACACCAGTTAATCAAATAGTTTTCTTAATTTGACACTCAAAAATACGGAAAACCATCTTTAAGTCTTGACATTTAGAGGTACATTTAAACCATAAAAAAAGTTCAAATACTCTGATATATTTAAGTTATATCCCATTCAGAAATTTTTATTGATATACAATGGAATATTAGAAGCTATACATAAAAAATTTCACAGACAGATAATTGTAAAATAACCATTACTTTTAACGTATCAATGTGGTCACACTGTCATCGGGAACATAACGATACTTCTAGAATATTTAGTAGAATTAAATGAATAGAATGGATACACATGTTTCAAACCCGCTTTTAACATGTGCTCCAGTTAAGCTTGAAGACAGACAACGATGGTTTTCTATATAAACCTGGTGATGAAATGACGATTACAGTAGAAGCTAAACCTGATACCACAGTAGGTTTACTAGCTGTAGATAAAAGTGTTTATATTCTGAAGAACAAGAGGTTATCCAGAGAAAAGGTATGATGAAATGCTGAGTGATATCCATGAATTACAGAGAGTCCCCTCTGTTTAAAAAAAAAGGGATCCGAGCCGCAAAACGAAAGAGGCCTTTTTAAATGTGAATTCTTCATCAGCTTAAAGATTAAAATATTTATAAAAACACAATAGGTAAAGTTCTATTGAAAATGTCCTTTATGATACGTAGTGTTTAGAAACTAACACACAGGAATCTTTTTCTGCCAATTTGTTAATGTTTGCCTCATCATTTCTGAATTCCAGCTATTCACGTCAATAAGGGAACATGATCGAGGTTGTGGATATGGCGGTGGTAGTAATAGTGCCTATGTTTTTCAAGGCGCAGGATTATCCATTATTACCAATGCTGATATGAAGACTGAAACAAGATCATCAGAAGGATGCCCCGATAAAGCTGTAAGACGACGTCGATCAACCGGTTAGTATAGTTAAACTTCTACGAACGACCATAACCTTCAATCAACAGCTAATAAAATCAATTTTTGAATGCATGGTTGGTCCTTGTAGCCACAGGACATACATTCAGACACGCGACTGTACATTATTGCAAAAGTACATCATCTTCAGCCGCAGAGGAGATAACCAGGCTTCAATGACTTGAAAATTGGTCAGTTTTCTTTTGGGTTAAATATATGGCGCATGACCCTTCAGAGCAATAAGTATTTGCTTATAATCATTCTAAATTGTACGTGCATATAAAAGATATGATCCAAATGTCTCCTTTACATCTAGATGACCTAGTAAAGGAGCTATGTTGTAAGAAAGGTTTTGAAGAGATAAACCCTGATTTAAATAGATGTTTTAACGCAGCTAAATTTGTATATGAATCAACCAATTCTACTGTTTGTGCTGATGAGTTCTATAAATGTTGTAAATATAAAACTCAGGGCGATGATGCCGGTGAAGGAAGTAAGTATATCATTGGTTCCCATAAATAAAAAAACAAGTACTAACGATCCGAACCGCAAAACTTAACTTAAAATACAATACATTGATAGCAGCTAATAATATGATGGCTTGGAGTTATTCAACAGAATATAAAACATACCTAATGACATCAAGTATACCAGATCATATTTCGTCTGTGTGTGTCAAACAAGAGCGACAACTCTAAGTATATAATGATAATTACCGATCGATTGTGGATCTTGATACATCATTCCGTAGCTTCCAAACCTTTTACCTATCTAACCTATTCACGCCAGTATCAAACCATGCAACGTGTATTACGTTGACGTTGATGAGTACAAATCGAAAAAGAGTTTGAGCTCCTTCTTGGTACCCCTCTAGATGCCATCCAAAATTCTGTAACAGCCGCAGATAGTGAGATTATATTTAACTCGAATGATGACAGTAATCGTGATTTAATACAGGACTGTTTAAACCTGGCGAAGCTGCCGATGATGATGCTGTTAATTTAATATTTAATGAAGAAGAATTTCTGATAGATGATATTCCATTACGATCTAACTTCCCAGAATCTTGGCTATTTGAAGATTTCTACCTACGGTTAGTCCTATTTTCTCGTTTGCGCAATTTGGACACGTTTGTATACGTAATTTGTATATAATTTCACATAAGGCTGCGGTTTCTTTCCAAGTTAAATTTGCTTCTTTGAACCTGTACTCTACATTGTAAAGGATCTTCCTTACCAACATCGAAAGGATGATTTGTTCTTAACACAAACAATAACAATATATACCTCTTCAAATGACAGGAGGGCATCTCTTATGATCAAAATCATGGTCATGGTAACAGTTAATTCACTTATCAAACATTACATTTACGATATATGTTGGTGGAAGATTTTTGTGTATGCTGGTTCCATGCCATTTGAATTATATTGTTGCAGGGAAGAAGGAACTAAGGAGATCAGTGTGACATTACCAGATAGTATAACAACGTGGATGGTTCAAGGCATCACCTTGTCTAAACAGCATGGTTTCTGTGTGTCTAAACCACACAACATCACAGTCTTCAGTAACTTCTTCGTTTTTTTGGACCTTCCATACAGTGCTGTTAGATTGGAACAATTAGAAGTTCGAGTTACCATCTATAATTATATGAGTAGAGATCTATCGGCAAGTAGATTTTAATATCACTTACTCGCCATTGTCGTGATATACATGATCTATCAAATGAAGCAATGCCAAAAATGATTGTAATAATTCAAGGTATTTGATTAGCCGAATATGTTTGTCTGTACGTCCGCATGGACAGATAGGTTTGTTTTGTATATAAGGCTAACAAATCTAACAAAGTTCGTGTATTCAAACATAACAGGTAACTTACCCCACATGGAAGTTCAACAAGGGACTCAATAGGGTTAGCTTCATGGTTTTATTGAACAATAATATACAACAAGATCTCCTAATGTTTATATAGCCTTGAACAGTATTGTCATATGTTGTCTATGTTCCACAAGGTGCCACCCGATCTACTGTTGCTAGTCTCTCATCTGAAGAGGGGTTTGATTGAAGATTTGCCGTTTATTGATAACTTAATATACATATATACTTGTAGGTAAAGTTGTTTATGCAGAGTGTTGAAGGTGTATGTTATTCAGGTGAACCGGGAGAGAATAGCGAGATGGCTCATGTTGATATTCCACCTAACGATGCTGCCTCTGTCTCATTCCCTATTATACCTCTAGAGCTGGGACTTTTCCCAATTAGAGTCTATGCTTACTCTACATGGGGGAACGATGCTGTAGAGAAAATATTATATGTAGAGGTGAGTAACATTATTGTAATTTTACAAATTCGTTTTACAATTATTGGGGTCAAAATCATCAGAAAACTTGGTCCATTAACAACGTTTATCACATCTAACCGTAGCTTCCATAACACAATATTCTCATCATTAATTACTAATAACCTATTTGCAGACCATTGAGTTTGGAAAAGGTAACACGATATATTATCTTTAAGTACATGTTAAGAAAGAATGTGTATGAACCAAATAGTTTTAATATGAGCTAGTGAATAACAGCCAGTAACTGTCTTTATTTGTAAACAGGGTGAAGGTTTAGAGAAGATCCATACAGTATCTGTTATGTTAGATCCTTCTGGTAAAAGATTGGTTAGAGACAAAGTAAATAATGTTACGTTCGATTTACTTAGTAAGTAGATTTTTTTTATATATTCTTATCAAGTTTTCCAATGCCTGCGGGATAATGCCTTCAGAGTTTTCGACCAGTGATTCAGACATGTGAATTTAGTTTAAAATTGAGGCATTTGATAACTAAGTTTAAGTATGGATGTTCTTAACTGTTGAGAAATTGCTTTATATATGCGTTGTACTTTGTCCGATAGCTACAATATGCGAAGAAACCTTCAAGAGGTTAATCAACATTGTTGAGTACAAATATTATGTGTTTCATGTTGTTATTATAATTTGTTATACATTGTTATTATAAACGCTTAACTCATTAGAACTGATTTGTTTAAGATGAAGTTGATGAAGCAGGCCATAAACAGAAGGTACATCTAGACCTTGATCTTCCACAGAATGTTGTTCCAGAAACAGAGAAATGCACCGTCAGTGCTATTGGTACGTTGTGATATTTCAACACGAGACACACTTCTCATATATCACCTTAATACAAATGCTTTAAAATGTAAAGGGAATTCACACAAGACATAGTGGAGGCAGCCGAGGCAAATACATTCTAAAAATCAACCCTGTCGGTTGTTCGGCTATGCCATAAACAGCTGGTGACAATGAAATTAGCAGAACAACATTCCTCCTTTTTAGATGTATAACCCATTGTATTGTATTTTCATCACAAGTCAGTATAAAACAATTATTTCTCGCCAATTTTCATATTATTTATACACTAAGCTCTAAATGTTACGATATACTCTTAGGAAATATTTTGGGACCTACTGTATCCGGTATTATTGAAGGTGTTGATACATTATTAAAATTACCTACTGGTTGCGGTGAACAAAACTTGATACATCTTGCTCCTAATGTATATGTTATGAGATATCTAAAAGCTACTGGTAGACTAATGCCGGAAGTTGAGAAGAAAGCCAGGGTGTTCATGCGTCAAGGTAAGATGATTCATCATTTATCCCAATTAAAATTGGACTATTTGCCAGTAACCTGTTCATAGATCAAATATTGTAACAAATTTTGCTTAAATCTGAAATGAATGTACCGTGTGGGATAGTACCAGTACATGCTTTGAGACGAGCTTTGTTTTTAAGTGAAACAAAAAATCCATACAGAATCTAATTGATCAGTCTAGTTTGGTTAAAATCGCCACAGTGAAGTTTTACGGAAACATTTGAATATTAATAATTTTTATTTAGGTATGTTACGGCAGTTAACATTCAGAAAAGAAGATGGATCATTTGCTACATGGCCACATGCTGACTCAAGTACTTGGTGAGTAAACACTAGATAGGAACGATCAAAACCCCCTGCATGGGTGATGTGTCGAATGAGATACGGAGTTGACAAACACTTGAACGCAATTGCTTTATTTTGTATGTTTAAGAATGTCCTTTAGCAGAGTCAGTTGCATATTGGTGAGTAATAATTATACCAAATTACAATATGGACTATTTAAACTCTCCGAAGGGATGTAGAGTTGACAAACAAAGTCGCAGTGTTACATCAGGTGTTTCTAAGAGTAAGCAAGGAAGGGAATATTTGACATATATATACTAGTATCACTAGAATCCTATTAAATTTCAGCACAATTATTATCTACGACGTGCCAGTTATTAAGTTATTTTGTTTTTATCATTGTAGGCTGACAGCGTTTGCGCTAAAAGTAATGACAGAATCTAAGACGTTTATAGCAGTTGATAACAATGTAACTTGTAAAGCTTTAACCTGGTTATTAAACAGACATAAGACTGACGGGTCATTTATGGAGGATTCGTGGGTGATGCACAAGGAAATGCTGGTAAGACGTTTTCTGTAAATTTATAAACGTAGAATATAAAGAACAAAACTAAATACCGAATTCATTTTTTCATTTTTTTTTAGGCTTTGTTCATTATTGTAACAATGATATAAGGCAATTAGTCTTAAGCAGCATGTTCTTTCTTTACATGCGATGAGTATAATGTTATGATACTTGCTTTTATCGAACATGTATAATTGATGAATTTCCTTAAACAACCCGAAAGTCGTAGAGTGGCCGATCCTAAATAATTGCTGATTTAAAAGTATTGTGTTTTATTCTAGGGAGGCACGACAGGGGAGACTACTTTAGCTGCTTTTGTTTTAATTGCGATATTAGAAAGTGACTGTAAACCAGAGGTACGTAAAAAACCTTGTTTTAAATCTAAGAGTGCTTAAATGGACAGGTTCGCCATTTTTGTTACCAATCATACCTTAGTTTCAGAAACGGTAATTTCTTAGCTAAACCAATCAGTAATAATGTTCGCGGTAAACCGTCGAAATTTAGGCCTTGAGATATTTTTGATGGAATTGTGCGCTTTCGCACATTTTTTAGTAATTTTAAAAACTATTGACATCTATTTACGACCCAAATCAAACGGCACAAATGTCCATGTGATCCTATAGCGAGTTATTACTTTTTTCTGTGTTGGGATCCTTCCTCCCAAAATGGCTGGATATATGGAATAGGTGTATTCAACCCAATCTAGCAGTAATTCAATGAAGTTTTGCAATCAGTGGAGTATCTAATCAATGACCAGAAGCTCCAAATGCCCCTGAGGCTGGGTATTGGTCCAATGACCTACCCTAAATACGCCACTGTTTTGAATAATGTTTGCGTTACTACAGTTTGGGTCATCTTTAATATATTGTCTATAGTGTAATTGTATGGATGTAGTTAAAGAACATATACCTTTTTAGGGTGAATATGATGTAGATGAATCGAGATTAAGAACAATCAGCTATCTGGAGAGTAAATTAGAAGAGCTTGACAGACCATTGGCAGTAGCAATGACAACCTATGCTCTAGCTTTAGCATATAGTCCCAGTAGACATAGGGCTAATGAAATATTGAGAAACATTGCTGAGAGAACACCCGAAGGTCAGTATACATATTATGTATATATATATGTACATGTATGTATATTTCTATGTTGGAATGCGGTTTAGTTGGTGTGTCGGTTAATAAAGGTTTTTCTTCTACTGCTATAGTGGTTCGGCCAGGACTTTCAAATATATCGTTAAAAAGTTTCATACTTCATACTTTCATACTTTCATGATATCTGATTGAAGGAGCTATAATATTTGTCCCACTGGAATTCATGATTTTACCAAATACCTCCATATGGACCGATGACATTTTTCTACCTTTTCTACCATGTCATTGCATAAATAATATATGCCTTGTCAGATTACAATTTTCAGATTAATTTCAAAGATATTTCAATATAAAGAATTGACCACTTCTGTCGTTTCGTACTTTAAGGTTTTATCCATTGGGGTGCTGGAGATGTAGAGAATTTCAAAATAGACCTAAAACCGCATTGGTTTAATAAAGAACCAAATGCTCTTGCTGTAGAAGCAACGGCTTATGCTTTACTCGCTCAGCTTGAAATGGGAGAAATACAGTACAGTAATCAGATAGTAGGATGGTTACTTCAACAACGAGAGTCGCATGGTTCGTTTGTCTCTACGCAGGTAACTCCTCTGATCTGTCAAATGGTTTTGTGAAACTCTTGAGCATAGTGATAGTAATCATAACAATACATATATCCAGACGTTCCAATAGGGTTATTGCTAGGCTAGTGAATACACACGCCCAGTATGAATAGCAGATGCACAGATATTTTCGCACGAAGAATGAAAAGTTACAGGTCATGGTTTACCATGGTATACAGCTATAGTGTTCACAGGTTACCTTCAAAAGTGAAATTCCTAGTTCGTACAGTATTGAAACTTCTGAAGACTATTTACATAAACTCATGGCCAAAATCAATCCATGAAAAAGGTGATCCATGGGCTTTAAGAAGTTTTTTGGTATTTCAGGACACAGTGATTGGGCTCCAGGCCTTATCGGAGTACAGTGTACGAACATATTCTGCCATATTAGACATGACCTGTCATATAACATCAGAAGCCGACCAAAACTTTCAGAGGTTGATTTCACTGCGACATGAAGATGCATTAGTGTTGAAATCCGTACCCCAGGTATATATTCATTAATTAATGAAAAACACTGATAACCATATAGTACTCTTTTCGATAAAGTTTGAGTATGTTCATTCTATTAAGTAATATTCCTTTAAATAAGAGTTCAGTCTTCATTAGCCCACATGGTGCAGAAAAGTAGGATGTAAAACTCATTTCATATAAGAGTTGAGACAACTTTTTTGCGGAGTCCAAAGATATATGATTAAGTTTGGCTCTCGTTCTAATATGTCGAACAGCTGAATTAGTTCAGATAGGTACGGTGTTTCCCTCCTTCTTTGTTTTATTATCTTTTGAAATTCTTTCAGTGACTTTGCCTGAATCATTGGGTGGAAGGGCTAATTAGGAACCAGGTGATCCCACTTCACTTTGCATTTAAGGACGCAATGATACGAAATACGGAAACTGGGGCGGAGGGAGCATATCCGCGTTTGACTCTTGTTTTTATCCCAAGGTACCAACTGGAGGCAAGTTGATGTTTGAAGCAGCTGGTACTGGAGTAGGCATGATGCAGGTTGAGGTCAGATTCAATGTGCCTCAAGAAGGTGATGCTTGTAAGTTTGATGTGAGTGTTGTAAGTAGAAGATTATCTCACATGGTTTACCAGTTCTTCAGTCATAACAGTCGGTAAGTATCATGGACCGCATATGGACAATGAATTATTTCTGATATTTTGATATTGATCATTTTTGAACAACTACATATATTGAGGATGGGCTTTAGCAGAGTCAGATAGAGAGTTTTGCTTTAAAAAATAGTGATTGTGGGTTGTAATCTCGGTCTGCGTTTGAATTATTCAATTCCAGTCGACCCAGCTGTAAATGGTTACAAATAGAGAAAGGATCATCGTGAAGTGATTATGAAATATAGTATTCTTCATTCTTGTCGGCTAACCATGCATTTTAATTGTGACGTGTTATCCTTAATTCTTACTTTCTATCTTTCTGACAATTATGCATTTTTCTTGTGAAGCTCTGACTGTGAACCTTGTGCCGAGTCTTGTGATGATGCTGAAGAAGAGGAAGATGAAGAAGATTATGAGACCTTTACTTTCCCCTCCATCATACCCCGTATACAGAGGATCGATCTGGATAAAGACGAGGGGAATGTTGGCTCTAGAATTGGTAGACCTTTCTCCAGGATTGGAAGGCCATTGTCGAGATTCAGAAGATCTGTTAGCGCTAGGAATCTTTGTGTTGAAGTCTGTGTCAGGTAATTAACCAGTGTCACTTCTATGTGGTGGGGAGTCCCAACCCCACAGACTGGACGGTGTATTATTTTATTTGAGTTTTAAACTATTTGGTGCTGTGAGCCCCTTGGCAAATCTTCTATATCCCTTCAACTAATAATTCGCCACCGTATTTAAGAAACTTAAATTGAAAGCTGAAGATCCACACTTATAATCCCAAATTCAGGTTTTTTATTTCTTGAAATGTGTTTTTATTAATTTCAATCTATAGATATATTAACCAAGCTATTGGCATCTGTTGGACAAAACTGTCAAATGTCATCCTTAATGGCACTCCGTGTAACTAAAGGTTACTGACTTACTAAACCTTTAATGACCACAGATGGTGACTGAAATGGTGGATATATTTATTCCTCTTGTCCACCACAAACGTAGTTTATGATATGGGCAAATACGAGTAGAAAGATGTTCCAATAATGTTATGTGATAAACCATATTAAATTTCAAGTATTTTCTATTCAGATACCAAGGTGAAAGAGAGACCGGGATGTCGGTATTAGATGTTGGACTGTTTACAGGATATCAACCAATTGATGCCGATCTTGATGCGGTAGGTTTTTACTTTTATTCACTTTTAGACAAGACCACCAATCCTTTAAAAGACTTAAAATTTAATCACCTATCATTTAGATTCATTTGAAAAAATGTAGGTTTGATTTATAATGATTATGATTTTTGTTAATTTCAGATGAAAGCTAAAGGTAAAATACAACATTATGAGAAGTCACAGAGATCGCTTATATTATACATAGAAGAGGTAAGTTGTTTGTTATATTTTGGTTCAGTTTTAATAGGGTACTTTATTTGTCAAATGGCACTTAGACTTATATTAGAAGATTTGCTTTCGATCCTCATATGGAAAATCTTTTGATTGCTTTGTTTTGTTTTAATTGCAACCAATTCAACCGTAACCTATATCTTATTCAATATTTTATATGATTATCAGATATCTAACAAGAAGACAGAATGTTATAAGTTCCGTGCTAAACAGAAACATATCGTAGAAAACATTCAACCAGCTAAAGTTCAAGTATTCGATTATTATAACCCAAGTAAGTACAACTTGTAAGACCCTCAGTTCCAGCTAAATTTAGTGAAATTAGATTTGATTGCTTAATAAATAAATTCAAGAAAGGATAACAATGCAAAGAAAACCAATAAACAGAAGCGAAGGAAGATTCTGGAGTTGAAAAACTGAAAATTACTTTTGTTTCCTTGTTGAATATGTGTTCTTTTTTCTTTTTGACTGATAGTTTCAATCTTTCCTTATCGCAGTGCTATTTATATTTACAAGAACTATGCGTTATTCCATTGCAGCTGAACGGTGTACGTATTTCTATAAACCCGATAATGTCAGTGGTCATCTTACCAATTTTTGTGATGATAAGAAAAGTATTTGTCAGTGTCTAGAAGGTAACGTTTTATTGCTGTGTTATATCATATATTGAATGAGTGAACAAAATTTTATTGTATGCTAACCTGAGTTTTTTGCACGCAACGTTTTAACAAGTTACATTGTAATCATGAGATGAAAAAAAATCTAACTAACCTAAATATCGCTTTAAGATTATGACTCATATTGATCAGTTAACTGCCAATATCCATATCATCAATCTAAGATATAAAGAGAGAATAACAGCGTGATTTCAAATAAATGAATTTGTATAAGAAATGCCAATAACTTGTTTGATGACGGCAATTAAATCTACTCGAAATCGAAAAGCACGATCTTATTTTGCTAATATTGCAATGGTAAGAATTAAGGTTTTGCTTACAGGGCGTTGTAGTAGATGTGAAGACGATTGGTATGGTAAGAAATGGCAGGAAATTATCAAATATGCCTGTCAAAATACTACTTACGGTAAGTTTTGCTGGGCTGTAGAAGTTTTAATTAAATATGTAGTGTATTATTATAACGCTGGTCTAAGAAGCTAAGATATTTCCGCAATGCTCTAAGTCTTTTTTATAGCCATCTTTACTTATTTGTTACACTGTTTTACAGTTTTACAGATCAAGATTTTAGACATGCAAGTAGAATCTACAGGGTTTCAGAGAGTATTAGCAGTAGTCCAAAAAGTCATTTATTCAGGTCTGTGTGTTTGACAATTTATCTTGATATTGTCTTAACAATAATTGTTTCCGTTCATCACCGATTTGTCATGTCATTTGAGGATTGGTTCATTGAAGGGGCTTATAGCGATATAGGTTATCTCATTATCATCACAAAATACAAGACAAAGTTTACTCTATATATTCTTTGCACGCTAAATTCTATTACCAACCTTCATTAGACTTTAGGTATTCTCTTCTCGGTGTTTTTACTAATTCTATGCATTTATCAGAACTTTTCTCTTAACTGCAATTGTCATTTGATTAACATAAATCCATCTAATGAGCAAAAGTTGTATCAAATTATATTTTAGATGGAATGTTAAAACTTCAACAGAAAGATAAATTAATTTTGTTGAAGAGATCATCTTGTATGTGCCCATACTTTACTGTCGGTAAAATTTACACTTTGATGGCGAGAGATCCTAAAAGATTTCGGGATAACGATGGCAATCTAGTGTAAGTAAGCCTTTTAAAACATAATTTGGAATATTCTGCTACTGTATATTAACTCAGAAGTTCAGAACACTGAGTAAAAGGCTTTCAAAAGGGGAAAATACACATACTCAATACACCAATTTGAACACTAACAATTGATTTGATAAATAAGACAATTATATTGATATATACTTGTGGAATATTTATTACTTCAGCGTTTCAATGTGGTTCTCATATCGTCATCAGGAATATGATTGCGGTGTGAGAACCACATTGAAACGTTGAAGTAATAAATATTCCACAAGTATATATCAATCTAATTGCTTATAACTTGTGCTTCTAATATGCCATTGAAGGATTAATTGATTTAATGTTTTCGGTGTCTTTTTGCTGTTTGTCTGTCCAAGAGTCAGGTTTATGTGTAGAACATAGGATACATTGAACTTGTAATTTCTGTACTTCCTTTTTGACATCATTCTGACAAGAATTTACATCTATATTTCAGACATGCATTTTTAATGGATAAAATGGCTGTTGTGACTCAAATCTATAAATCCCGCCAAAAGAATCTTTCAGGAATGCAGAAACAGATGGCTCGACAGTTCAGGAGATTTCAAAAACGTTTACTCAGAAAGGGGTGTCGTAATCACCGAAAAAAGGGAAGAATATTACACTCTTTTCCAGGGAAATAGACAAACATGAGTTATCAAATGATGTCAACCAATTGAAACATAATATAATCGCCTGTATTATCTTTACTATCAGAATGTTAAATAATATCACGTAATGTAATAATATATAATGACTGGATCATAATCTTTTTGTAATATAACAACCAAAACGTGAAATAATTAAATTCAAACTGTTCTCATGAATAATTTATCATGAACCTTTGTATTTAAATCTGCTTATTAAATTACTATATTATATAATTCACAATACATAATCAACGGATATATGTTGATATTCAATATCCTAAAATTAAACTGGTATAACATGTGTGTTGTCTTTTTTATTATTTGCGTCGTAGTTTATTACCATCACCATGATTTGTTATTGCTGTTATTGTGTATTGCCGGTCAATTGAGGTACAGGGATAGTGGCGCCTTATGAATTTTTCTGAGGTAGTTTGATCGTTACCTGAAAGAAGACATGTGACATAATAATAGTAAATAAAGTACTATTTTCTATATAAATAGATTGTTATCTGAGATAGTCTGAACTTGAACCCCCGAGCCCCGACATGTTTAAAGATAATGAGGCTGCATGGGCCGTTGGCGACAGAATGGGGTTGTGAGACACAATCTCAAAATAATCAAGTTGGGAATTCAAATATTGTAGACTTATAATTATACTTTTGATTTTAATTATCAAGAAGGAAAAAACGAAACTTAACTTACAGCTTTGACTTCAGTATATTCTTTGATGGCATATTCTGATCTACAATGCAAAAGCCAAAGAAGATTTAAATGATGTTTTATGGTCCAATTGTCAGTGTCCAGCAATATAGATGTACAATTACCCTCCGAAGTCCCTTCGCATAAATAATATATTAAAATTTACATAGCAAATCATATACAAAGATTTTGATTATAAATGAAAGTTACTTACAGTTCTCGGCCATGACCAGATTGTTTAAATCCACCAAAAGGAGACTGTGTTGTTACTATGTCATAACAATTCACCCTTAAAAGACATATAAAGTGTTTAATATCCTCATATTCCTTCATTATACCGATATTCCTTCATTACACCTTCATTATACCGATATTCATTCATTACACCTTCATTATACCGATATTCATTCATTACACCTTCATTATACCGATATTCATTCATTACACCTTCATTATACCAATATTCATTCATTACACCTTCATTATACCAATATTCATTCATTATACCGGTGCTATTATTAATATATTTTTACAGAATTTATCACTTACGCAAGATTTCAATTAAAGAAATCGTGAAATTAATGATACCCATAAATGCCACAGATGTCAAAAAGTGTAAAATATTTTGGCAACGCCTTGCAGTGTGCAGTGAAGGAAATTTTGCAAGAAGAGCGGCAGCAGTCGATCCTTTTCGATTTTTAACTCTCGAGGTTCTTTTGCACAGTCTGTAGAAGGACTAGATGCTTTGTCCATTATTTACAAGTTGAAATAGGGTTCCAAACAGTTATTATCTCGATAAAATACCTTAGCACCAATCCAACAGTTGAAGAAGAATTTAAACAAGATTTTCTTACCAAACAGAACCCGCCTGTACAGCTTGAGAGAAAATCATAGCTTTATTAATATCATTAGTTATAATTCCCGCAGCCAGTCCGTAACTTGTATTATTAGCTCTTTCTATTGCTTCATCTAATGTTTTAAATTTAATGATTGATTGAACAGGTCCAAAGATCTGAAACGATAGAAAAAGAGTAAAAATGGCAGTTTTTATTAACTAACTAACGACTAAATTGATATAAGTTGTATGACTCCCACACAGCTTATAACAGCAAAACAGAAAATAAACAATTGAAATTATACCTACAGATTGTAGTTTATGGCATTTATTTAGCTTTGTTAACGAAACGGCTTATATCATTGGATCCAAAGAGCTAGCCAGTAGCGAGACTTGATTGTTCGGAGGGAAAAGTTATATTTCTGGAGGAGAAATGGTGTATGGTCTTTAGTTATAGTAATGGAGTTGGCCTCCCTTACCCACCTGTAGCTACGGGCCACCCAAAAGCTCCTTGAGTGGATCAATGCCACTGAGCATTTAAAAAAATGTTCTTTAATAAGGGAAGTTAGAAACAGTTAAAAGGGATTGTGAAGAGGTTTTATAATTATGTGTATCGGGTATACTGATAGTCATCTACTTCTTTCGCAAAGAAGAAACATTTACTACCATATGAAAGAAATTAATAGTGGTACCTCTTCTCTAGCTATTTTCATATTATCAGTAACATTACTGAATACTGTAGGTTTAACAAAATATCCTTTCTCTCCAAATCTTTCCCCGCCCGCCTCTAACACAGCCCCTTCCTTCTTACCACTCTCTACAAAATCTAAAATCTTCTTGAACTGGGCTTCATCAATCTGGAAAAGATTACAAATTCTTGCCGAATGACGTTGACCTTTGAAATTCCATTATTTCAGTGATGGAGTCTTAAACGGATAATATGTATTGAGTGAAATATTTACGATAAGCTCCACATTGATGGATAGGGGGCTTCAATTCTCTTAACACATTATTAAAAGAATTCTTTTATAGAAGGTATATGAAATTTTCAATCATGACCGATTCTTCTTGTTGCATTAGCAGATAGTGACACAGAAATATTAAACAGAAGCTGAACCAAGTTTATGGTAATGTTTACCTGAGATCCATGCTGAGTCATAGCATCAAATGGATCACCGACTGGTCTCGTTTCAGCCATAGTTTTTGCTTTCTTTACAAACTCCTCATAAATTCCTTCTTGTACGAATGTTCTGGATCCAGCACAGCAGTTCTGACCCATATTATTAAAAATAGCAGCATGGGCCCATAGAGCAGCATTATCAACTGGAATATCAAATTTCAGAAATTCTTATCCCTATATCCTTTATGAAGGGAACAGAAGGTAGTGGTACACGAATGACAATGTCAAACTTGGAACATATGATAGGAAATGAATGGAGTTTTACGTCCTAATTTTCTACACTTCAATATGATAACTCTAATGCCTACCGTATCATAATTTAAGAAATTACTACAGCAATCATGAACCAATCGAAATTGGAAAATTTGAAATCCTTACAACCTACCATCTGCATCTGCCAAAATAATCAATGGACTTTTACCACCGAGTTCTAAACTTATACGTTTTAAATTGGATTTTCCTGCTGCTTGCATCACCAGTTTTCCAACCTGTAATATATTAACCATTGAGTAATGGTTCCAAATGAGGGTGTCGAGAAAATACAAATGTGAAAATCTTTTTAAATAAGAAGTAATTGAGACGGAAGGGCACGACTCCAATGTGCAGCATCAGGATCAACTGAATTCCGTGGGACGTCAAATGGTGTTTATAAAATATCGAGTTACGCGACGTCACGCTGATCTCTTTCGTTGAAGGCGTTTAAAGTGTAGCCTATTTGGTTATATAATAAACTGGGCCTATGTTGTGTTCGCTTGGGCGAAGTTTTAAATGGAACGACGAACCAGTTTAGTATTGAGCACGACCATTTTGATCTCAGGATTGTTCATTATTGTAAATCAGAAAAGAATGGGTTTAGAATTATTTGAAATACCTCTGTAGAACCAGTAAATGCTACTTTATCAATATCCATGTGTTCAGATATTGCTGCTCCAGCTGTTGGACCATACCCTGGTACCACATTCACAACCCCTGGTGGGAAACCAGCCTGCAAATAAAGATTGATCTTTTTTGTCTTCAACAAATATCCAGATATGGCAAGCGAATAAAAGAATGTGTAGAAATGAATCTATAATCTGGAATATTTGACAAATCATGCTATGACATTTCAATATAAATCTCTTTTATAAATAGGATCTCAAAGAAAGATTAATAAACCCTCTCTATCAGGCATGTTAAAGATTTCATTGTAAAGTAACTATCTTAGTAGCCTGCTATGCTTTTGTATGCGACACCAATGATGAGGTAATGTGTAACGCATGTGGTAAAGAATTACACCAACCTCTTTAAACAAGGAACAGCAATATAAAGCAGTTAAAGGCGTTTGCTCTGCTGGTTTCAGTATCACTGTATTACCACAGGCCAGAGCTGGACCTAGTTTCCATGACAACATAGAAACAGGATAATTCCACTGTAAAAATCATAGTGATATAGGTAACAAAATCATTTATTACCTCGAAAAGTTGGTGCCCGAAGAATTGGAAATTATTTTATGAAATTCAAAGCATATGTACATCTACGAAACTAAAATGCTTTGGCACACATTAACTTCAAAGTTTCATCAAGAGCGGCTGTAACATCTGTATCATCATGGGGATTAATTGGGATTCCAGTAATGGACCGATCGATCGTAGGCATACTGTCAGGGAATCATAGGAATTACTCCAATGGGTACCAAAAAAAATTCTCAGGCCGTCTATCTATAGATTAAGGTAACTCGGTCCGTCATTGAGATTAAGATATAATATATAAATAAAAGATAAAAAATATAAATATTATTTGTGTTTAGACAAAGGGTCATTGAAAGTTAACCTCAGATGATATGTACACATAATAGTACTTGTGTACATGGATATACAAAGAAGGTAATTGCAAATGTATTTCTTTCTACTACATAAATTCTTTACTCTATGGTAGTGCTGTGTGAAAGGGTGTGATCGTGCTAAATGGTCCTTACCGGTATTATCTGACCACAGACTCCCACTGGTTCATGTCTGGTAAAAGTGAAATAATCACCATCTGAAGGGAATGAAGTATAATCAAGAATGCTATCATAATTGCACATCACCGATATTCAGAGATTGTTTCAGATTTATTTCAGGATGTATGGATACATACAAATAACACTCCAGCCAATTACGAAAATTCGCCAGTTATTGTTTAATTGCCTATAATAATATATTTATAAAATCAAGTGTACCAAATGTCTGAAAAAATACAATAGTACGTACCCACTGGTATAGTTTTACCACATATCTTATCACACCAGCCAGCGTAGTACTCAAATACAGAGATAGTCCCTTTAACATCATCCACAGCGTCATAGAACGGTTTACCATTATCTAATGTCTCCAGATTCTAAAATTATTTAATAGAAAGAGTCATTGAAAATATTGGGTACCTCAAGCGACCTCCTTCTACATCCGATCCACTGCAATCAGTGACACATGGAAAACAACCAAGGCAATTGGAAAAAAATATAATCCGTTTGCACTAAAAATACGTCTTTTAAAGCGACTAGGGCACCTCCAACGACTTCATGCGAGCTACCGAAAATACTGAAGTGGACACGTGATAAGTACCTGGATTTCTGAATAGGTCGTTAGGCTAGGTCAGGCAAAAACATCCCCCAAGTTTAAAAACCATTCACATGCTATTTATTAGGCTTCCCACGGCGGAATAACCGATACAAATACACTACTGGTAGTGATAGCGTGTTATTATGTATCGAGCAAAAACAAAACATCACCACAAGTTGCCACCTCAAATGAAATCCACTTATAGATTAAAATGATACGTACAGCAATAATAGATATATCCCTTTTCAACAATTCCACAAATCTCATCAACAACTTTCCTCGTTTGGAAGCATCCATAGTTCTCCATTTTGATCCTATTTTAAACGCCGTTCTGGCAGCAGTGACAGCTTTATCAACGTCAGCCTAAAACAAATCATAGTTACACTCTCAGATTACCAACCTCAAGTGTGAGCTTCTATGCTATCACATAAGTTTATATGATGTTGGTAATAATTGAATCAGAAACTTGAACTTGCAGATTGGCGTCTGCAATAAATATTCAATATTTGTTTTTGTATAAACACTAATTTATCAAATTGCACAGATTATGGGCGATGTTAATAGCCAAGGATATATAACGTACGATTCATCCTCATATCCAATGAAATCAGACTGAATTTACACTAATCATCTCAAACCTTATGCTTTAGTTTTCTACTCAATGACTTAAACATTATTCTGATTTAAAGAATTCATTGGATTTGTAAACAAAATCTATACCTTGTCCCCTTCTTGAACATCACATAATTTCTCTCCAGTAGCAGGGTTAATTGTAGAGAAAACTTTTCCACTCACTGAATTATGCCATTCATTATTAATGAATATCTACAAGAGAATAAGATCGCAATACATTAACCATACTGAAAAGTCAGATTGAGAAGTGTTATTTGATGGTGGGTGATACAATGGTGTTAACACATCCAGGGGCCCATAATTCAGTAGAGGTAGTCGTCTCCTCCAACATGTTTTTCAAAACACAAAGCCCATCTTCGAATTTGTCAAAATCAAGAAAATTGTACCATGTTATTCTATGTTTCTGGGGGTTTGGTCGGTCCAACTAGGCCCCTCAGACTCCCTGCACACTGTGTGTGGGTCGGTCCAACTAGGCCTCTCAGACTACCTGCACACTATATGTGGGTCGGTCAAACTAGGCCTCCAAGACTACCTGCACACTATGTGTGGGTCGGTCCAACTAGGCCTCCAAGACTCCCTGCGCCCTATGTGTGGGTCGGTCAATCTAGGCCTCCAAGACTACCTGCGCCCTATGTGTGGGTCGGTCCAACTAGGCCTCCCAGACTACCTGCACACTATGTGTTGGTCCGTCCAACTAGGCCTCCCAGACTCCCTGCACACTATGTGTGAGTCCGTCCAACTAGGCCTCTCAGACTCCCTGCACACTATGTGCATTCATAGTTTCTATCTCATTTCAAAGCCGATTGACGTTTTCAAGCAAAGACAAGGGCAACAATATTTGAAGACATTAGAAAGGTATTTTATTTTGTACACTCGCGGTTGGACTGTATATTACCCGTATTATATTAAGGATATTACTCCATAAATATCAGAGATAACAGTGACCTACTTTATAATAGTTTTTTGAGCTACATGTCTTTAAGTATATCATGTGGCCTCACTGGCCTGGCTATTTTAATGATTTAATTCACTTACATAGTTTAAACTAAATTCAATCTTGCCTTATTTGGTGACAAACTATGCCAACGGTGTTAAGAACATAAAAGTAATCATGATAAGTAAGTAAACAATAAACATAAGCAGGCCACGTCATTGCAGATCATTATTGAAATCAATAGCTTTAAAGTTTCATATAATACATTGCTTACGTTAGCAGTTTTAACAGTTGTCTGAAGCCATGTTCAATAATCACAATGTAGGCCTATGTATGTATGTTGGCCGACAATATACAAAGAAAAAGACGTTGAATATTACCTGAGTGTAATTAATTTCTTGTTTGGGATTTGGTTCTGGATCAGACATCTTCAATGAAAATAAAAGTTAATCTATCTTTATGTGCTCTGTATCCCTACTAGGTATGCTGAGTAGTGAAGTAGACTACTATTATTAGGTAACAAGGGACGTAACTCCAAAGAAGGTAAAAGTTCAGACCACAAAAATAAAAACCGTTTATATACGAGTTTTCACAATATCTTAGTTTCCATCTTCAGAATGTCAAGCTATTACGTCTTATACCTTGACTGAAATAGTCACATTTCTTATATCATACAAGTTTGAAAATGCCTCGATTGGATTGTGCGCTACCGGATAGGCCTACAGCCAATGAGAGCCCTCGACAGAAGGTCTTTAAGCCTCAAGCAATAATGTTAACAGTCTTTATGTCGAGGGCTCTGATTAGCTGTATTTGCTAGCGTAGTCAAGGTATAATTCGAAGTTCGTAAAAGCTTGACATTGTGAAGATGAAATACGCCATAATGTGCTAACTTCAATTACCTGTATGAAGCATTACCAAGTTATTCTGGTGTTATTTGCATAAACCCTACAGCAATACTTTGGTTTTTTCTTCATTGTCATATGGTTCGAATTTTTCTCTCATTTTTGGAAAGTCAATACATTGAATAACATAGTACACAGACAAAAAGAATACTTGACTTTTGTGCAACTAACATATTATCTGAGAGGGTGAAGTAATTCAGACAGACTAAAAGGAAGAAGGATATATTTCCTTCAAGTTATTAAGCTTTAATGACATCATCCTATTATACATGCGAGATATTATATATCATGTATAATCCCAGGTATATTAGTTTCAAAAATCCAAGGGGATTATTTATGATCAGTCCCTATGAAATTGAGTATAAAATTTCTTGGTCTTATTCGTTTCAATATCTAGCCGAATAGAATTTCTATTCCAATGGTTGACGACTGAACTGACCACGAGTTTCACCCCTTTGCCGGAAAAGCCTCCTCTATAGACTATGGACTTCAATGTATCACCAGTTGACAATAGTATCATAAAGTGGCTGCGCCAATGTGGGTACAGGGGAAGAGAAGGGGTGTGTTTTGATACTTAACCTTTTAATTTTTCAAAACCTTTCTTTGGAGAGAACCCTCTCGGGTGCTCATATGTGAAGTCTGCGCTATGTGCTTCCATAGAGCTGCCGCATTTCGAATCTCAACATCGACAGTTGTCCCCCGTTAAGTCAGTCTGCCTCTATTTGTACTTTCAGTTTCGGGAGGCTGAAGACGCCAATGGTATCATATAGTTATATATTTATATTTATATGTCAAATAAAACACTCCTCCTCAGTTTTTCTAATAATTAACTCCGCTTTCCCCAGAAAACGGGAAAACTCGGAAGCAGGTTATCATGAAAGGGTTGGTTGAAGTGTTTTTGTCCAAGGTAAAGCATTATAAAACATAGCTATAGTTAGTTGATATCAATATAGGCCAAATGTTATGCTCATTAAATTTCAAAGAGTTATAAACAAACTACACTATTATCATAAAGCTCAGTGAGTGATAGTAACAGAGTCTTGTGGTAAGTAGAATGTAGTTTGATATTATACCAGGAAGTTTGAAATGTATGTCATTTATAGTATATATGCACAAGCCCCTAAAAATAACAATTGTGGGAGACTTTGAAACAGCATTAACAAAAGAGAGCGCCATTTCAAGGGTTGGTTGAAGTGTTTTTGTCCAAGGTAAAGCATTATAAAACATAGCTATAGTTAGTTGATATCAATATAGGCCAAATGTTATGCTCATTGAATTTCAAAGAGTTATAAACAAACTACACTATTATCATAAAGCTCAGTGAGTGATAGTAACAGAGTCTTGTGGTAAGTAGAATGTAGTTTGATATTATACCAGGAAGTTTGAAATGTATGTCATTTATAGTATATATGCACAAGCCCCTAAAAATAACAATTGTGGGAGACTTTGAAACAGCATTAACAAAAGAGAGCGCCATTTCAAGCACAATTAGATACAAGGTGGTGACAGGCTAAATTCAGAAGGTTCATCCCAAGAGCAGTCTTGACTAAGACACCTGTTCATGTTGAGCTCAATGACGAGGGATTTTGTCCTGGTAGATATACATGCTCGATAGACTTCACTATATCACCAGTGTGCATTGCGCTGCCCATAATTTTGCACAGAAAATTGAAAGAACATGAGAAGGAAGCTTGGAAGGAATAAAGTTCTCGATTTTTTTTTTTACCAAGCAACCAATTTCTTTCTGGATAGGTTAAATCAGCCATTGTCAAAATGTATGTAGACTAATGTAAAATGTAACTATGTAAAGAACCGCAAGTGACTCGTGCAAGCTCTAAACATCATCTAACTTTCATACGTTTTATTTGATATTTCTACGGAAGACAACGTATTGACAATTTGACAAATAGGTAATGTAGCTTACATGGTTTAGATATTGGTGTTACCGTCACGAATTATATATTCTAAAGGCGTGTTAAGCCTTAATTAGAGTAATATTAGGTCTGGTAGACCAATGGTTTCAACCAGCAAAAATCGCATTACTCCCCCCACCCCCGGACGTAAACCTAGTTCCGACACTGGTTTTAACCACTTACCTGTAACTTAACTAACCCTAAACTTAACCTTGCTAACCCTACCCTAGCCCAAACCCCCAAATACATAGCCCTACCTAACCTGAAGCCAAATTGAAATGAATGCACAGTCTGTAGTACGCGGGGCGTCGGTTTATTGTCTAATCCGTACGACTTGACGCTTTTCCCCATGTCAGCCATTCCGGCCTGCATTACTGGGGAAAACCATGTCGAAAAATGGTATTATCCACCTATGACAAGATTGAACTCTGGGCCAAGCAAGCGTTTAAGTCACTGATTCAATAGAAACAGATCACAAAACTAAACTCCCCATAGGTAACTTACTTCCTATTTGTTTCTACAAACTATATTTAAAATGGGTTTTTCTTCTTGATCATTTCTTAGAAAGTCGATCTATTCATTACCATTACCTTATCTAAAAGTAAAATATTATTCACGATACTATCTATAACAGAGTGGAATACTCTTACTATTAGATATAATATTAGATAACTATTCATAAAATCGGACTTAATGTAAGAGAACCATAAAAACAATATCATTTTAAACCCTGGGAAATGATTAAATCATAGGTAAGAATTCAAACTGCATATAAATTTTACTATAGAAGGTATGAAGCAGAATAAAAGTAGGGTCATGTGAAGGGTAAGACATCACCTGTGTTTAGTTTGAGAAAACTTTTCTCACGGTTTAGTCATTTCCTATGGACATTTTCCCTACAAATGTCTTTTCGTTAAAAAGTTTAGTTCAGCAAAGATCTTCACAATGACCTTGCGAAATTTCTTTTATATCTTGACTACAATAGTATCCATGTATCAAGGAATGCAGCAAATTTTATTAAATTGTACCTCAGCGAATACATAAATTATAACATGTGCAGAAAATCAACATATTTATTTACTACATAAAAAGAAAAACTATTAAGCTTTCTTTATTTTTATAAAAATATAAGAAGATACCTTATGTAAGTATCTCGTTGTTCAGGTACATAACTTGTCAAATGGGTCAATCCGTTTGCCAACGCTAGCAACGACATTGCACATGCTATCCTATGTTCCTTAAGCACGAGTTGCATATTGTTTATATTCTACAAACAATATCTACCGGTGCTTAAGGAACATGATGCTATCCTCGAATGAGCCAAATATAGCAATGGGTAGGTTCTAGTCCGAAACATCTGTCTCTATTCCAGCCTCTGACAGCTATTCTGACTGTTGTCGGCTTGCTGGAATAGAGGCAGATGTTTCCGTCTATGTAGGTTCTTGAATCATAAAAATCATATTTTAATTTCCTGTTTCAGAGGCAAATTGATTTATTGAATGAAATACACAGCAATAGAAGACAGATTATCGACTTATTGACCATCAATCTATTCCACCCAGATATGATTGTTATCCGCTTTTACACTTACTGCTTCCGTCTGAATGCCGTCCGTTATCAATTGTGTTTGAGTTAACTTCATAGCTAGAATCATATCAAATCACTGCATTCAAGAAAAGTGCCAAATGAAGTCAAGGTATTAGACACAGTTAGTATTAGAGATTGTGAAGGTGGAGTTAATGGTGCTAACATTAATTGGATTGACACAATAGTGGCTGAATGTAAGATATTAATTGTTAATTATTAGTTGTTGTGATTGTTAAAAATCAAATCATAAAAATGGCCCCTGATCCACATGCAACATCGGGTAGTGTTAGTAGCAATAGCTCCACGACTGCGCTAATCTCCGACAATTCGTACTCATCTTTAGCAATGAACACTTATATCAAACGAACAATATCATCACAAACTTCATATAGACCACACATGCTGCAGGAGACAATACTTGCTAGGAATCCTCTTCATGGTTCTATATCTTCTCATATGCTATTTGGTGATGTTGTTCCTGTGGACCAAAATAGTACTGATGATAACCTTGCATGGTCAGTAAATTCTTCTCGACAATTGGAACCCGATGTCAGCTGTGAGGAACCTTTGCAAAGAGAGCCACGTGTCGTGTTACCTTTGCCGAGAGAGCGACATGGCATGGATACATCTTCAAGATGTTCAAGTTCGTCAGGGTATTGCAGTGTAAGAGAACTGCTTTATGACAGCCTTGATCTGATTTCTTTGCGGCAACCAAAGCAGGTTTCTTCGCTTTTGTGTTTTAGTATTACTCTAGGACTTGTAGCCCTTTCGTTGGTGGCTATTTGCAGCGCGAAATACATCAAATCAAAAAAATATGTATATGCGTTTGAAAACTGTGCATTGTGTTCTGATCTCACAGATAAAAATAAAGAATCCATTTCATATATGAGGCGCCTGGGTGAATTAAAGTACTGTTGTTTTAAGTCTGCAAGAGATCCTGTTTATAGGCTGAATAAGGTATGGTGATATTCATTTTTTATGTAAGCAACCTAACTATGCCTGGTCACGTATTCTTGCTCTTTTCCTGTACAAATAAGCGATTCTTTACACAAAATCTGATACAATGAAATCTAAAAAGTTTTATAGGG